TGGCGCTTTCCAATCACTGTTTTAGTGTTAATTATTAAAATCCTTAAAAACGCTACTTTCTTACTTGTGTCAGCAGTCATCATGTCCTTAACGAGTGAAATTTATTCAGAGACGGAACACTTTAGATTGTTCTTTTACTTGCGACCAGCTTCCCAGGCCCTGCTTCCCCGTTAATTTTCGTCATCATTTTAAATTGACATTAAGTTCTTAGCTGTGAACTTCCTTTTTTTGTTTTTTTTTTGTTTTTTTTGTTTTGTTATTGTCGCTTTTGTTGTTGTGAAGAAACTTAAGAGTAATAAAAAAGGACATACCGTCAACTGAAAAGATGACCTTTTACCAGCAAGTTTCATACATATTTAATTCGTTTCTATTTTTTGTTCTTGGTAGAATTTGTAAGTTGTCTACGAATAACAATAATAAACAAGAGACAACAGTGCAATTAGTATCAAGTCTACTTAAGCAAATATTTTACTTCTATTATAAAGCATAAAGGATTCTACTTTAACTGCGAATAACACAGATTTGCCATTATATTCTTGAGAAAAATAAAAACTCTTTTATTTCAATTAAAGGATATACAACTTAATTTTTTAAAAAAGGTCATCATGATTAAAACTTAAAAAATGAGTGCTTAACAAATTGCTAATTGCTTAAGCCAGTATTTTTTGAGATTTTTTTGTTTTGCGGACGAAACCCAAGAAAACAAAAAAAAAATCATAATAAAATTAATAGCTACGAGCCTTTCAAATAAAATATCCGATAGGATGAACCGACGCAAGGCTACGAAAGTAAAAATTATTTCAAATATTTTCTGTAATTTTTGTTTATTAAAATATTTTTAAAAATTACTTAATTTAAATATGACTTTTTTCCCCATCACATGTTAGGGTTTAACTCTAAAAAGGTACCACGCGTATTTGGAAAATTAGTATTTGGAAAAAAGTATTTGGAAAAAAGTGCTTGGAAAAGAGTATGAAAAAAAAAAGAAGATCTTAGAAAATTAAATATTTTTTATTATGACAATATTTACTGATTTAAACCTTAGATTTACTACAATCCTTCCCTTTTAATATTGTTAGTATTCTGAATGCCAACGTAGCGCATGGCGCTTTGTAGCCCTTTGAGATCACCTTAACTCTTTGTTTGTTGTTATAGTTAGTATTTCCTGATTGTTATTAAGAAAGATCTTTCAACAGATCAAAATAATTTTTATAAACAGATAATGTTTATATCTACTCTTTAATAGTTTATATTAGATTAGATTTTAAAACTGGTTGGGAAATTGTCACCACGTCACTGAAGCTAAGTTATTAATATTTTTAAAGAACGTATCTGTGGATGATAATATATAGTTACTGGTAAATTAAAGCAAACTTCTCATTAAGAATAGATTTTATTTCCAAGTCGTTGAATTATGTTGATATTATGTAGATACCACAGCACCTGTGCCATAATGTAGTACAAGATAACACTCACACCATTATTGAGAATAGTACTGTGTTTCCATAAAAAATATATAATATGTATTAATTTTTTTTATTTGTACCATGTCAATTGGCGATAGTTCTACAGATTATTAAATAGCTCTGAATCAACTTTTTCATGGATGTTACTCTTCCGAATGGATGTTATACCATTCAATAATGTGTAAAATTATTAACAAGTAGATAATACTTGTAATTCACATATATAAATGAATAAAAAAAAAACAAAATTTAACAAACAATTTACTTCTAACAAGTTAACATAATAAGTCGCACCCAATGTTGAAATCTAAGCAGAACTCGAGTCTGAGACTACCAAATAACAAAAATATTAATTATTCACAATCATCATTTAGTCTTTGGATACTTTTATACTACTATAACACAAAAAATTGTAATTAAAGTGCTTCGAAAGTGCATTATTATATAAATTTGCTTAACGTACTTTTAGAAGTGATAGTAGAAATCACTTGGGTTTACACCCGCATACCAACTTGCTAAGATATTGTATTATTTTTTCAGATACTGCGCTCTTTATTTTCTTCCAATAAATTTTCATTTCACATCATTCAGTTTTCAGATTTTTTTTTTATATTTTAACTGAATATATCATGTCTGGAGATCTATTAATTGAATATATCTTTATTGGATTAATTTCTATTGGATACATCTTTTTGGATAAATCTTTACTGGATATATTTTAATTAAATAATCGAGTTAGGCTCGTGTTCAACTTTCTGCTTATGCAATATATTTTGTGATCATAACTTCTTTAATAACAGAGAGCTAGTTCAAATTTGTAGTAGGCTCAACGCAAAATTTAAGCAAATAATCAGAGATCGAGAGCAAAACCAAATTTCGTCGGAAAAAAGATCAAAACAGTTCAAAATATTATTATATTTATGGATTCTCTTAACTTATTTGCCACAGAAATTGACATATGTCGACTATAATAATTTAAAATTCAGGTTATTTTATTTCATTTGAGATGAGTGGGTTTTTAGAATTTGGCGTGAATCCAGTCATATATAAACTTAAATCAATTCTAAAGTTCTTCTTTCTGAAGAAGTTTCTCATTCTATGTACAAAAATCCCTGCAAGAGGCTTTGACACTTTTATTTATATACCATGATGTATCGTATTCCTCATATGAGTTATATTTTCCTAAAGATTTATGGTGTTTTCATTGAAGAAGATAACTTTCTTCTATTTCTATCTTTTCTATCTATTAATATTTATGATTCTAATTTGCAACTTTTCTACCATCTGCCATAGATTTGTGCTCATATCGAAGAGCAGAAATTCAGAAATTTGCAAATACAAAGATGTAAGGGAAGGAGAAGTCATTGCCTTTACGAATCCAGCTTGTTGTTTGGCTTATGTCTCCATTTATTCGTTTTCAATAAATCTAACAAAATTCAATTTCCTGCTAAATGTTCTGCTCCTTCTTTGTTAATATCATTCGCTTTTTAACATTGTAATTACTTTTCATCTACTAAATTTTATACCTTTTCTGTTACATTAAGTGTCTTTCATGTGGCAGCTCCTTCGTGCTTTTAAGTTTAAAGTGTTCTGTCATTCCTCCATTTGTCCCTCTGTCTATAGTGCAAACTTTCTCACATCCATTTAGGGTGTGCAGTTGTTGGTGTTGCCATGTTTATCTGTTTCTCATTAAAATTTATGCATTTTGTAATAATTTTTGTGGCGCTATTTTCATTTCAGAATATTGAAGTTAATTGAATTGTTTGTTAAGTGAATTATGTGCTCGTTTTCATACCTTATTTATATACGTACAGTACATACACACACATATATATATATATTCAGTACTCTATCTATCTGGCTCCTCTCGTTATTGTGCTGTGCATACTGCGTTTAGTTTTGCGGCTTCTATGCGCTGCTAATGCGCTCATTAAGTTTTATTTTGTTTCACAATGTGTTCGTTCCACAGTTAGTATCTGTCCCCGCATAAATGTCCATGGATATGCCTGTGTGACAATTCATTTGGTTTGGCAATATGTTGTGGGTGACTGCGGTGGACTGTGATGGGCAGCTTAAGACTATTTTAGATAACTTAATTTATTTCATAGGTTATAAAAGTTAAAAACCCATAAGCATTTTACACCGATGTGGCAGTTTCCTAATTTATAGGCACTTTTAATCATTTCCAATAATCAACAACGCATAATTTTTCCTTTTCATCTTCCATTCCTTTTTCTCTTCACAACAATAATGTATGTCTACATCTAATATAATCAAATAATTATGAAACTCTTTCCGACGTAATCAGTTTGGATGTACCTTCGAATTATATGATTTGAATGTATCGCAATCCAAGCGACCATTTATACTTATCCTTATTAAGATTTATGCAAATTTTTTATTCCGTTTAGTGCGTAATTAGATTCTTTTTCTTCAAATTTTAGTTTTCATTTGAAACTAGTGACGAACTCAATATTGAGTACCTGTTGTCGTTGTTACTATATATATAACACCTATAGTATATTATAATGTATGTTTGTTTGTTTGTATATTCGGTTACATTTGTTTATTGTTAAATACTCTGGAAATTTTGAAGCTATTAAACAGATTCGAATCTTAAATGGTGTCGTGTCACCTTAGCGTTATTAGCTGCCTGCTTCATCTTTTATTTCCACTACAATACAAAATTCCTGTACAACAAAAGGAATAGTCCTAAACGTATTCAGTTTGAAGCACACGGTGCGAAGGGTGCCTGTTCCTATTAAGAAAGTGTAAAAGACATATAAAAAAGAATACGGCTCGGACCTACGGAATGTTTCATTTTTATTCAGAATGACATTAATGTAATCTGTCGGTTGCTTTCATAAATTGTTTTCACCGCCTTTTAAGTGGAACCAACGAGCTGTACAATTTGGAATCGTACAACAGAAGAAACTGAAATACTCGTACCCTAGCTCAAGGAAGAACATAATGCGCGCTCCTTTGAATATTTAATAAAATTTCGAAAATATGTGTATATCTATGAGTTTATAGTCATTCGAAGTTTGTGTGCTTCTTTCAGGCATAGCCTAAGTGCTGCTCGAATATACTAAATACATTTTCTATATTCGCTCTCCTGTATCTTTTAATTTCGTTATTTGGTTTTTTAGTTTCTATTTTTTAATTTTTTATTTTTTTCATTTTTTGATTTTAATTCTATGCTGAGAAAAACTCTTTAAGTTCACTAAATACTTTTGACATTTTAAAATGTTCCACTTTTTTTTTTATTTTTTTCTTCTTTTTAATTTATCGCATTGCATTTTAATTATAAAAGAACACACCGAAATCCTCTCGAATGCTTCAGCGCACTTCACTTTGTATGAGTCAGAGTGTGTGCTTTAAAAGGTACATTTTTTATTTTAATTAAAACTAAACATTTAAAATATTTACAAAATTTTTCTCATCAAAGTAAAAAATAATATTTTCATGTAATTATTTGGTATGAACTTTTTACTGCTTTGCATTTTATTTTTACAATTTCTATTTGAATTTTAGGTGAAAACCCACGCATCATTGAGCACCCCATGGACATGACTGTGCCAAAAAATGGACCATTCACATTTAACTGTAAAGCGGAGGGTAGCCCAACACCATCAGTTCAATGGTTTAAGGATGGTCATGAACTCAAAGCTGATACGGGATCACATCGCATTATAATGCCAACTGGTGATTTATTTTTCCTTAAGGTAAGTGCAATGATTGCCTTATAGTAAATATTTATTTACATTAGATACTCTTAGATAAATAGAATATTTTTTATTTGTAATATTAAAATTTATATTTAATGCATACGTAATGTGTTCTCAATGCAAATAACTTAGTGCTCTATACTTTAATTAGAAGTAATATATTTTAAAACATAAAGTAATGGTATCACTAAAAATAATATTTTGATTTTGAATTTTGAGTTCCGAAAGGAATGATTTTATGCCACTAGGTTGACTCGAATTTTAAAAAGTGAAATTTTGATAATGAAATTGAGTGATTCCGAAAGGAATGATTTTTTTTCAATGATATTATCATCGTAGTAGAGTGACGAGACCCTATACTCCTTACTTGGGGAGTATGTTCAAATCGCGAAAGGATCTTAGTACTCAGCTTAAAAAAGTAAACGAAGCTGTATACACTCATTTTATATAATAGGACTAATAATATATAGGACTAAGTATAAACCGCTTACTTCATTGTTTGACTCGAATTATAAAAAATGAAATTTTGATCATGAAATTGAGTGATTCCGAAAAGAATGATTTTTTTTCAATGATATTATCATCGTAGTAGAGTGACGAGACCCTATACTCCTTACTTGGGGAGTATGTTCAAATCGCGAAAGGATCTTAGTACTCAGCTTATAAAAGTAAACGAAGCTGTAATAATATATAGGACTAGGTATAAACCGGGTACTTCATTGTTGGATTCGAATCATAAAAAGTGAAATTTTGATCATGAAATTGTGTGATTCCAAAAGGAATGATTTTTTTTTGAATGATATTATCGTCGTAGTAGAGTGACGAGACCCTATACTCCTTACTTGGAGAGTATGTTCAAATCGCGAAAGAATCTTAGTACCCAGCTTATATGGTAAAAGTAAACAAAGCTATATAAACTCATTTTATATAATAGGAGTAATAATATATAGGACTAAGTATAAACCGCTTACTTCATTGTTTGAATTTCAATGTAATTATCATTTTTACTAAAATAAGAATTAAGCATAGCCCAAGTACTCCATTGTTTGAATTTGGGTGTTCTTAACATTTTCACTAAAATAAGAACTTAGTAAGTGCTTCATTGTTCGAATTTGAGTGTAATTAATATTTTCACTAAAAAAAGAATTTGAGTATAATTAACAGTTTCACTAGAACTCGGACTAAATATAATCCAACCACTCCATTGTTTGAATTCAAGTGTTATTAACATTTTCACTAGAACTAGAATCCGCGTACTCCATTGTTTGGATTTGAATGTACTTATCATTTTTACTAAAATAAGAACTAAGCATAGTCCAAGTACTCCATTGTTTGAATTTGAGTGTACTTATCATTTTCACTAAAATAAGGACTAAATTAAATCCGAGTACTTCATTTTTGGAATATGAGTAAAATCAACATTTTCACTAGAACTAATTATTATCCAAATACTCTATTGTTTGTATTCGGGTATAATACTAGTTCTATTGAATATATTCTCACTGTTTATGACCAGTGAGAATATTAGCAAAAATATAGTAGTTCTTCTTTCTTTTCAAATTCTAAATATTTAATCATTTGCATATAACATATAGTTGATATGTTGCTAATATATTTCTGCTGTTCTTCAAGAAGATACTTTATAATATTTTTATCTACACAGAAATGTAAATATTAAATGAAAATCATTTCATAAAAAATTGATCATTTAAATCAGGCCAAAAGACAATAGGTACAGCAATACAAATTGGTGCTGTTATACTAAAGATATTATTTTCTGTGAATTAAAAATATTTAATAAAAGATACGAAAGGAATCCTTTGGTGATGCTATCAGCAGGGCAGCACTGCCAGCCGTACTTATGTTTCCACATCTCTTAATTTCAATAATAATAATAATAACACAAATTAATGATATAATGTAAAGCGAAAGCATATCCTGCTGTTTCGTTATGAATGAAAATGAAAAATTACTTTATGTTAAATAAATTTAATATTGCAGATTTTATTTTTCAGCACGAGTGAACAGCAATTATTTCATACTTAACGAAAATAATAACTGTTAACAAATTGCAGATGCAACGTACTTCAAAGTAAACGTACTTCAAATCAATGTTGTAGCAACAAATGTTCAGCCGGATTTTTATATTTTTATTTCCTCCCAACAATTTAATACCGTCATCAGCAACATTTGCAACAGAACAGCAGCAACTGCCAACTACTTTTAAGCGTTCCGTTTAAACTTAAAGTGTTTCAAAAGTTTATTTTAAATGATGGGCTGAATATAAAAATTATTTAAATCCTGAGATACACGTACTTTCTCACATCACTAAATATTTGCGGATGTTAAGAGAACTTCAATAGTACATAACACTTCAAAGAATTTATATTAAATCACATTTTTCGAACTATTTTTAATAACTGCAATGTGTGGTAAATTACTAAAGTATCCTTTGAAAAGGAAATACCTTGAAGCACTCGGTATGTATGATTGCTTCTGGAAAAGGTGATGAATATTAAAATTAAAATTTATTGATCTATATTTTATAACAAAAAGTAATGGGAAATTGTTACAAAAGTCTAGAGTATGTGCTAATGGATCTCAGTTAAGCAAAGCACTGCAATTCTGGCTGATATTTCTAATCGATCCTAACTGAATAGAAGACAATTCACTTTTTAAATTACAGTGAGAATATCTGTTGTTTAGGACATCCTAACATAAAATGGAGAGAAAATCTCGTAGTCCAACAATCTCCTCCTGGTTCATAACAAAACCGGACAATCACAGAAATTGTGACTAGAGGTCTCATCCACCTCCAACTTGCAAATAGAAATATTTATATATTGTTTGTATTACCTTGAGAGAAAAATTTTAATGATATGATTTTTTTTTGTATTTTTATAATTTTTTTATTTTTCGAAAATATTTTAAGAAATTACCGAAATCAGAAGTACTTACTTTACTTCCATAATTCGAACTTTTATTATTTCAATTTTCTATAACTCAAACTAAATAGAGTGCTACATGGTTTAGAAAGATATCTATATACAATTGTAAAAAAATTCTTTAACTCGAAGTCTCCAAAAATCAAAACTTTTCTTTGAGTTATGAACAAAATATATACTTATTCCTATCTAAATAATACATGAATCAGTTTGCTCAATCCAATTGCTTATTCTATAACTTAATATTCTATCAGTTACATTCAGTTCAGTAAAATAGATATCTTCTCTCCTATTCATAAACAATCAGACAGTTTACAAACCAAAATTAATCTTCAAAACTAATCAGAAATATTCCGGAAGAAGGTAGATAAGAAAATTAATTGCAATCTTCTAACAAAAAAAAGAAAAAGAATTAAAGCCCATTCGTAAACATAGAATACAGAGTTAAGCTACAATACTAGCTCAACAAGAACTAAACTATGATAAAATATAGTGACATTTGCAGCAATGTACCTGTTACAAAGATTCCGGCTAGCATAAACCCTCAGCATATATCAGCTATGACGTTCATCTAAGGCATTGCAAAAGAAAATCTTCATGATATCAATTCGATCACTCGAAAAATTTCGACCAATATACTAAAGGCAATTCTGGCCGATTAGTATAAAAAAATATTATCCAGAAAAATTATTTTTTTTTCGAAAAAATTATTCAACCTCTCCAATGCTCTGTTGACTCAAAAGGGACTATTTTAAATAAATATGAAAAAGGAATCAATCGAATTTGGGGCAGGATATATACAGTACTCGTAACTTAAGTGTTGTATATATGAAAGAAATTATTTTTTTGATGTCTCAAGTTCGGTTGCTCAATTCATAGATTTCGCATACTTTTTAATCAGAAGATATATTTTTTAATTTAAATTTATTTTAAAATTTAATTATTTTTTAAATAGAGCGTTCGAATAGTATTGAAATATGAAATTTTATATATATATAAAATTTATATACTATATATTTTATATACTTTTAACATTTATTCTTTACGTTTATGGGATTTTTTATTCTATGAAATTTTTACAGAACATGGATAAACAAAAATATGGAATAGAATAACATAGAATATATTATTTTAATTGTTTTTAATATGAAACTGAGGTAGTATTTATAGGTCTTTTGTGCTGCATTCAGGTGCAAAAACCAGGCGTGATATGACTGGATATAAGCAATAATATTATTGTAACTATTCGTACCAGCCTTAATTGTTTATATATACCCACATATATGTAGTCTCTGTTTCTGCGAGGATTTAATGTCAAGGCTTTAAGGTCGCAGGAGTTTTAAAAAATACTAAAATAATTTAGAAATAACATTTTATGGATTTTGTATATTATTATTAAATAACATTATTTAATATAATAATTTTAATTATTATGAATATTATTATTTTTTTTTATTTTTGTCGAAATTGGCGCATCTTCTGACCAAAAGGAGTAAGAACTTATTATTATTAATTATAACAAATGTAAAATATTTATTACTAATTTTAAATAAATATTATATAAATATTAAAATAATATAAAGTAAAGAGCACCTCTTTTAAGTTTTATTTTTACACAAAATTAAAATCGATTATTTATTTATATTGATATTTCTCTCTACTATATGGACTATATCTGGACTATATGGACTTTTTTTAATTTTTATTTTTTCAATAACTTAAGAAGTAGAAATCTGCATTCTGGTTATTTTGTAAAAATTGTAGCGCATAACTTAGTCTGTTTTTACCAATTATTTTTAATACCTTTCTTAAAAATACTTTTCTATTTTGAATAAATTTATTAAACATATTTTACATTTTATCCTGTCTGTTTCGAGTGGTTAGGAAATATATTTTTTTCCTGAAAAGTTCATATATTTTTGAAAAAAGTATGAACTTTCGAAAGAATTTCAATTAAATGATGTTTACTTAAGGGTGCGTACCCTAGCGTGCTTCTTCCGTGAGATTTACGGAATTTTACGTTGATTCTGTATATGAAACACGTGCTACCACAGTTTAATAAGCCAAAAATGTTTTTGCCTTTTTGACTGTATTTTTGTTGTTGTTTTTGTTGTTGTTAAATGAAACCATTGAAATAATGCATCAGATATCCTCATATCCTAATCCAGTTAAAGGCTATTACTTGAGAGCGCAGCAAGTAACTCTTACTCTGACTCAAGAGTAAAGATGCTCACGCATCATCATCGATGCTGCCGCCATTCGAACTCGAATGGCATCGAATGATAATTAGAGTGCAATGAGACACATTACATTGCACATCCGAGTGAAAAGAAAAATTTAAATTACAGATTAAACAAAAATTAGTCTTTCATTACTGATTTAAATTATCTTCCATTTCAGGTCATGCACACGCGACGGGAAAGCGATGCTGGGATGTATTGGTGCCAAGCGAAGAATGAGTTTGGAGTGGTGCGTTCGCGTAACGCCACACTGCAAGTTGCATGTAAGTAAATACTTCAGAAAGTAGCTACACTGAGACATGAAGTGAAAATGAAATACGTGAAGGATAATGCAAGGATATCATTAATGCCGTTATATGATGCTGTTTGCATGTGTAACGCGTTGACGATGATCGATCGTTTTCAATTTTGTTAATGAGCTGCAGCTACTTTTTGCTTCAACTGAAAAGCGTAGTGAGGAAAAGTATCTATGATGTTTCTTTATTTTAATTGTCTATGAGATAATCGCAGTGTATATGCTATATGATGCATGTTGCATGTTGCATGTTAACCATCCAACGTGCATATCTGTAAAATGTCCAATTTATGCGCAAATGAAAAATGAATTCTGTTTTTTCGTCAGTTTCCTTCCGAACAGATGTTTCATTTTTCACTTCAACGATATTTCCATTATTTACATTATATTAATTTTAAAAATAAGTTAAAGTATTCTGTAGTAATTAATTTACCACTTCACTGCTACTTAAAAGTTTTTTCAGCGTCTCATGATATACTGAACAAGGAGTATTTTACCTAATATTGATTCATTAAAAAGAAATCCCTACTCCTCCTGCATACATAGCAAATAGTCATTTCAAAATAAAACTGTTTCCTTAACAAAAAAAAAAAATATATTGCTTATTACGCTATCAATATTTCTCATAATTTTAATAAATATATTAACTTAAAATATCATTATTTATAAAAAAATAATTTTTTTTCTATTGCGATTGCCATATGTAGAGAAATGAAAAAAAAATTAATTACTTCTTACTCCTTCATTAAAAAAATCGAGTTTCACGATTCCACTATACTATCAGATACTACAGTTTTTGGTATACTTTTGTAGAAAACTTACGTTTCTAAATATCATTTTCAAAAGCTATTTTCAAGAAATGTTGATATATTGGCCTAAATACAGAGAGAGAGAGAGAGAGAGAGATTCATCTTAAGACTGTTATAGCTACAACATAGTACAGCATAGATAATTTCTTCCATTCCTTGCAATTTCTTCCTTGCATTATTTAAGGAGTCTTATGACTTGCATTTACTTCCACCTCTTAAAAGATTTTTTTAACAGCCAAACGATCACTGTTGAGTAATTATGGAAATCACTAATGCTGGAAAGAGTCGATTATAATTTTGTTTATCATATAAACATATCATGATACAATAATAATGATCGATTTATGCATACATATAATATTTCGATTGTTTTAGGTGCGTATTGGTCTGTATTGGGTTCTGTATAACATGATGCTTGAAACCTTAAATACTTTGATAAAAACGTATTTTCTGGAGATCTTCACACAATTATCCGAGGCTACCTCTCAGATTTGTGTTGCCCCATATGCATAATCAACCAAGAATGCAAAAAAAAAAAATCATTAGAAACTTTCAATCATTCAAATGTCCAGATTAATTTTCAAGAATTTAAGAAAACTGATATTCTGCTACCATTGCTCGAAAAAATCATGTCTAAATCTATCTTATATTTCATAGTATGTATACATAAAATAAGATAGCGGTCTTATTGCAGACCAAATAATTGTAGATTTACCAGTTTTAACTAATTTCTATTAGAAACGCTAAAGTGAATTCTTAAATTTGATATAAAATGTGAGATAGGACTTACTTAAAACTAGCATATCCTACAGATAAAAGTACTAAAAGAGCACTTTATATCTTACTACACATGATTGGAAAATTTCTTCAAAATTGGAATGTGTCCATTCTCCCGCTTGCTGATATTAAATGTGTTTTCAATAACATAGGCTATTTTGATAGCATTATCCAGTATAAATTTATGTACCTTCATTCAAGGATTAATCAGACAGGAACATTTTATTAACAAACAGAATATTATTACCTGAGCTTAACTCTTATAAAATTAATAGATTTATTATACGTCGAATCTCCCAGAGAGGTGTTATTTCTCTACAGCTGTGGAATTTAGCGGTTATCAATCTGCTTCTTCTAGTAGAATAGAAAGGTTTCTAATGAGTCAAATTAAGTTCTTTAAACTTGAGTTATATTTTATATATGTATATTCCATATATGTAGAGTGTCCAGGCTCATGGATGAGTATGTTTTAACAATGGTATTAAACACATTAATGATTAATTAAGGTAACTTTCTTTAAAAATCCTATTAAGTTTGCGATAGTCGCTGACAGAATTCGAATTTAAAAACAATTGGTTTATAAAATTCAATTATTTGTAAATTACTATGTCGGAGATGGTGAAGAATACTCAATGCTACAATTTATCAAAAAAATTGGACCTGGAGAAATATATGTATTAGGGATTATGTTTCTAGCTCGAGATGACAAATCTTCCAACGTAACAATAAACGATTATTGCTAATTTAATATAAAATAGTTTTCCGCAGTCCAATTTTTTCACGTATTCTAATCATTATAATATTAAATATATGTATATTGTTGTTATGTTATAATATGGTAAAGAATAAAGTGATATAAATAATAGTATAAGAATATATATCATTCCTTGCCTAATATTGCATATCATTCAAAATTGAAACCACTTTTCAAATAAATTTTAACTTTAAACAGATTTAACTAAAAAATAATTAAAATTTAATAAGAGCACCTAATTAGTGGATATCCGATTTCACTGATTTCAATGAGAACACAAGAAAGAAACACTTAATTATATTTCAAACATAAATAACAAATCAATACTCTACTACTCTACCTCCCACCTCACTTAGTTTTCCCGTGAACGTTTAAATTACATTATTTTAAATGGTTTAATTATTCCTAATTAGAATATTTTGTTAACTTATAACTTACTCAGATCCTTACATTAAGAACTTCTTAAGTGAATGTAAAAAGTTAAGCAGCAGAATGCGTACCGATGTCGGAGGTTAGGACCTCTTCATATGAAAAATATCCTTTTTCGTGCAGTATTGAAATAGGTAAATTTAAATAATTGGTTTAATTAAATGCAAAGGCAGAAAAAGTTGACTGAAATCAAAGGATGAAAGGCACGAAATTAATTAAAATTCACAGAGTATATCGTAAATGGAAATCTCTTGAAGATGTCTGGGTCGCTGTGGGTTAATAAGCAAGTTCGTTTATAAATTCTTATGAAAATTTATTTCGCATAATTGTTATTGACTTATTAAATTTTAATAAATAGATTAATGTTTACATATTTGTTGTTTTCTTCCATCGGTTTTTAATAGTTTTGCGTGATGAATTTCGGCTCGTACCGCAGAATATGCGTTATGCCCAAGGTGCCAATGCCATAATGGAATGTGGCGCACCGCGCGGTTTTCCAGAACCGCAAATTTCATGGCGTAAGAATGGGCAAACAATGAATTTAAATGGCAACAAACGTATACAAATTGTTGATGGTGGCAATTTGGCCATTCAGGATGCACGCCAATCCGATGACGGACGATACCAATGCGTTGCCAAGAATGTTGCTGGAACGCGCGAATCGGCTACGGCATACCTAAAAGTACATGGTAAGTTATAACTGCAATAAATACGACTGCAACTGTGACTTTGACTGTACTTAAATGGAGGTACTCTTGTACGAGTATACTCTGTTGAAAATATCATTGCACACACATACTATACATATACCATATATGCTCTCGGTTATATGCTAATAAGCTTTAATTTATGCTTTTTATATTAATTTCAGTACGCCCTTTTTTAATACGAGGACCACAGAATCAAACTGTTGTTGTTGGCAATTCGGTTATCTTTCAGTGTCGCATTGGTGGTGATCCATTACCGGATGTCCTGTGGCGACGTTCCGGTGGAAATATGCCGTTAGGTAAGTTTATCTAATACACACATGCGAACACATATTCCATTTGCATTAAACACACTCATTTTATAGATACACGCATGAATACTCCTCAGTTTGTCCTTCTTAGTCATTCACTCTCCATAGAACATATTGCGCTCCTGTTCTACTTCAATTTATCATTCCTTTTCGTGCAGCCAATTAGCCGGAAACCACATAACGGATATAACTGTCATGTTGTTCTTTGATACAGTTACCCGTTACCCATTACCCATTACCCGTTACCAGTTACCTGAAATCACTGCCATTATTATAGCTTTTGTTGTTCCAGTTGTTTTTGTAATTGGGTGTGTACACAATTTTCTCATTTTGGTTTGATTTTAAAATCAAATGAAAACTGTTTCACAAAAAACTTTCACTGTGAAAATTAAAGTTTTCTGTTTGTGTTTACTTTGGAAGTGTGGTTTTGTTAGGCTACACTGAACGCAAAACTGCAGACTTAAAAAATGATTGAATTTTAAATTTTTAATGCAATCTGCTATATATTTTTCATATTAAATCATATTAATTTCAATTCTGCTGTTGACGTCATACTTGTCTAAACAACAAGTAATATTACTATATTGTCTTTAATTATGTTAATAATATATTTTAGAGTATTAGCTCTGAAGAAGTACTTCTGAAAGCTGCAATCAACATAAGTCTGTAGAACCAGAGTAGAACACCGCCTACTCTGGTTCTGATTAAGTATATTTTCTTTGTGTACTAAACCTGATGGAAAGATTTCTACAAAGACACAAATGGCCATATCATTTGCATGCCTGACTTATATTTAATTTTGGTAGTTATATAAAAACTCCAAAAAATTCTAAACACAGTAAACTGTAGATTTCTATACTCGATTGATTATTTAATTGCAGTGCAGTTCAGCAGATGATTTTCCACTGAACTCAATTAGCGATTTTTCGCGGTTTTGCTACCACATTACTCGCAAGAAACCCTAAGATAGAATAATACAGACTAAAACCATTCTGTCGAATTTAGATAATTTCTTTCATTCTTCCGAAGAACAGTCTGAAAAGCTATCAAAAAAGTGCTTCTTTAAAAATATATTTTTTTTGAACACCGGAGCCGGGCATGCGCAATGTAAATGTTCAATAGTAGATTCCTTTAGTACGATTAGTTAGATACGAATTCATACCATAAGTCAGAAGAGCACTTTTTGGACTATACTTTTTTTTTGGACTATAGATTTCAGCTGCTTTGATTACATTTAACATTTGAGAGATACTGGCTTTATTTAAATTCCACTTTCTACTGCTTGCTACTAATTCTAATCTTCAAGTCTCCAATTTTCCGTTCCCAAATCCAAAAACATGCCTTTTTGGCGAATGTGTTTCGAGCCAACTGTCGAAAGATTTTTAGTCTTGGTTTGTTTCTTGGTTACAAAAATGGGCGGATGGAAGTAATTCTTAAGTCTGAAAGACGATCTGTTGCTTGGATATCACATTTAGTACGTCGAAGTAGTTCGTCGGATTAATTTCCACAGGATTCGGGAGGAGTTAAAGACTTTAACTCAATTGGTGTGCGAGAAATGTGTAGAAGTTTGTATCCAGTATTGGTACAGTTACTTTGGATTCAATGGTTTCAATGGTTTCTAACAAAAGGGGATGAAATAAATTTTGATTACGTGATAATGCCACAAATACCTTGCACGAAACTTACATTCTAATTGAATTTGATCATTATCGATTTTTTAATATAATCAGTATTATTTTGAATTTTTTTATAACAAAGTTTTATATATATATTTTAGTTATAACTTATTTATTATCAATTTATTTATTAGTAATTCTAAAAGGTCGTAGGAGTCATTGTAAAAAAATGTTTTAAACAAAGGTTTCGAACATCTCTCGGAAAATATAAAAAGCTAATGCCGTTATCGATTGGGGTCACTTTTATAATATAGCGAATATACTCGTATTATAAATATTCACTCGAGCGAAATGAATAACACTCGAGATTGATTAATATGAATCTAGATATTTTTCCAAAGTAGCGAGATAACCCTGAAACTAACAGCAGTTTTATAAGTTTTGTTAGATTACTCTAAAAATGTTCGATTGCGCGACAAAATTTGAAAAATCCCAAGAAAGTTTGAAGCCTGTTTATCAGTTAAAAACGCCATAAGTTCTACACTCTATAAGTTCTAATTTTTAAAATAATCATTTTTTCAATAAGTATAATAATTTTTTTCATTTCCAAAAAATATGTCTTCTTTACCAATAATAAATTTAAAACCAATAAGTGATTTAGTCATATAAGGCTTTATATCACGAGTATATCTTTTATATGAAAGAAATGGATTTTTCTGAGTGTAATGTATTTGCTACCACTCTACCTTGCTGAAACTACTGAATTGCAACTTTTAATTCCGTTAATTGCCAATCTCTGTTTCCAGCAATCCAGCAATCAACATTTTGCTTTCAAAACACTCGCAAAAAGTCCAATATAATGTCCACATTTACCAGCACATGTACCACCTCTCCGTGCATATACTTGAACCGAGACATTCTGACTAAACTACTCGCAACGATTGAAGACATGGCACAGTACCGGAGAAATCTAGGAAGCTAATGCAGAATGTTGTCTATTCGTCCAAGCAATAGCAGCAGCAGATGAAGTATCTCTTCCACACATACCAGATACTTGCATAAAAGGCAAAGCTTCCGTAAACTTTTGTTAAGTAAACAATTCAAACAGACAACAAAAACATTTAAACCCACTTTTCACCCTCGTAAATGTTCGTAGCAAGTTTTTACCTTTGTTAACCACAAGATCAACAAACTTTCTACTCTACTCAGTTCCTCAGCTCCTCAGCTCCGTACCGTTCTGCTCTGTTCTGCTCTGTTCTGCTCTGTTCGCTGCGGTTCTAGAGTCGTAGCAGTTGTGGCAGTCGTAGAAGAAATCTAACACACTCAAGGTGCTTAAGCTGTTCTGCTTGCAACATTTGTGCTACTTACCTGGCTCATGTGCACACAATTGTATGCACAATTATTCCTTCCGTAGAAGCAAATATATGTTAAAGTACTCGTGTATATATTTGGGCACAGAAGTATCTCGTGGTGAACGTTTTATTTTGTTGACGTACGAAATTAAGAAAAAAAATATATATAAAATGTAATGTAAAGAAAACTACTCAGAGCTTCAAAGTGTGGACAAGCGGAAGAAGATGTTTATATGTGTATTGTGATTCTACAACCGAAATACCCTACCCACAGCTAAACGATTTCAGTTTTCTTGTTTTTGTATTTGTTTTTGTTTTTATTTTTGTTTTTATTTTTGTTTTTGTTTTTCTTTAAAAGAAGTGCATTGAGCGCACACACGGACATATAAAATAATTTTTTACCCATTGTGTTTTTATTTATGACGCTCTACCACTATGAAGATTGGGCGCAAGTAGCTTAAAGCTAGGAACTCATAGGAACTCGCTCCTTCTACTTGGGCTACTTGTGCCCGTAAACAAACAAACTCAAATTTAAACGGCAACACAAATAACTTTCGTGCCTCGTCTTAGCTATTTGCACATTTGGACGTGTGCACCTTGGCACGTTGTCATTGTGGGCCACAATATCCACAATTTCCACAGTTGCCACAATGTCCTCTTAACAATTATTACCGTTTTACCATTTTTTTTTACTTTAGTCCTGACTGTGGTTCCTTGTGTACGCACGTACTACATTATTATGCAGGCAGGTAGACAGTGAATCAGGGAGCTAGCTCAAAAGTATTAGTAAAGCAAAGGATTAAGTGGAAAACTAAAGCTACATGGCCAGGCAATCTGCTTGAAAACTTATTTGTGCCCACAGAAATATCCTTAATTCTTCGCCAACTTTCCTGCCTTTCGGTTTCCTGCCTTAGATTGTGGTTTGCGAAAGTTAACTTAGATGCAATGGAGTATTCTTGTTTTAGTGTTATTTACGCTTCAGTTTTGTATTTATTTTATGTGAATTGTTATATTTTTAGCACGCGTGAAAGTACTTTCGGATCGCAGTCTTAGATTGGACAATGTTACCTTGGAGGATATGGGCGAGTATAGTTGCGAAGCGGATAATGATGTTGGCTCAATAAGTGCGACTGGCGTTCTAACAGTACACGGTAAGTAATGATTGTTTAATTTATATTGCAAAAGTGTTTGTAAAGTTGGATTCTTCAAATCAGGTGGCAGCATTCTGTCTAATACTGCGGTGTATAAATAATTGCAGTACTCCATATTATTTTAGTTTTTTAAACTTGTTAAAATGTTTTAGTATGAACTTAATTACAGGTTTATGAATATGGAGCTGTTTCTATATTTATCTTAAACATAAATTAAGTAGAATAGAAAATAAACAGAATACTGGCTACCATAGAAACAAAACACTGCCACTATGGCTGATCTATTGTGCTAATAATAACTGACAGCTATCAGAAGTTATAGCTCTAAACTTGTTTAATTATAAAAGAAAGTTTGTAGTTTGTGACAGTTTTTTTTATATAATGACAGTAGTGACTGTTTAAAAAAAGAATAAATCACGAATAATTAAATATAAAAAAAATTCTAAGACCACCAACATCGAGTTCATCTTTTTATTTCTATTTTTTCGCAGCGCCACCATCATTCACTATACGCCCCAGAAATCAGCTCGTAAAAATCGGCAATGAAGTAGTCTTTGAGTGTCAAGCAACTGGTTATCCGAAACCTACAATCTACTGGTCTGTTGAAGGTAACAGCTCTTTGCTTTTTCCTGGTTACAAAGATGGACGTGTCGAGGTAACGCTGACACCTGAAAGACGTTCCGTTCTCTGGATATTACATTTTGCACGTGAAGATTCTGGAAAAGTTGTTGTATGTAATGCGCTCAATGCTGTTGGCAGTGTTAGCAGTCGTACTGTTATCACAGTGGACACACAATATGATCTCCCACCACCAATCATAGAGCAGGGTCCTGTAAACCAAACCTTACCTGTAAAATCTGGTGTTACTTTACCATGTCGAACAATCGGCATTCCTATGCCTGAAGTAGCTTGGTATCTCAATGGTATACCCATTGATGTCATCGAACATGAGAGACGCAATTTATCGGAGACAGGTGCACTAACAATTTCCGACTTGCAACGCAGTGAAGACGAGGGTTTATATACTTGTGTGGCCAGCAATCGTAATGGAAAAACATCTTGGAGTGGTTATTTACGCGTAGATACACCTACAAATCATTATATTAAGTTTTATCGTGCACCTGAACTTACAATGTATCCGGGGCCACCAGGCAAACCACAAGTAGTCGAAACAACAGATGATAGTGTGACTTTGTCTTGGGTGCGTAGCAATAAAGTTGGAGCGTCAAGCTTAGTTGGTTATGTGGTGGAAATGTTTGCTAAAAATGAAACGGACAGTTGGGTTAAGGTAGCGACACGTGTGCACAATACGACATACACACAAATGGAATTACTGCCTGGCGTTAATTATTACTTTCTCATAAGAGCTGAAAACTCGCACGGATTATCACTCCCAAGTCCTATATCGGAACCTATTGTAGTTGGCACGGTTAGTTGAAGAAATCCATATTAAAGTTTCAAGTTTTTAGTTTTTATTTATTTATGTTTTTCATTTAGAAATACTTTAATAGTGGTTTGGATTTAAGTGAAGCACGGGCGAGTCTTCTATCTGGGGATGTTGTGGAATTGAATAATGTAACCAATGTGGATTCTACCAGTATGAAATTAACCTGGCAGGTATGTAGTACTTAATAGAAAAGATTGCTTGAATTCACAACTATAAAAAAAGCACATACATATATGAATATCTAATAAAAGGCAATAATAAAATCAACTAAATAATTCAAAATGAAAAAAATATAATATTGAAAGTATAAAATATGAAATAAATTTTTAAAATTAATGCAGATAAATTCATGTGGTTTCTTTACGCACAGGTAATCAACGCTAAATATGTTGAAGGTTTCTATATATACGCACGACAGTTGCCTGATTCGGCTTACAATACAGCATCAACTCCTTTAAATAGCAACATTGCAAACGTTAATCCTTTGCTAACATCACGTAACAGTTACTCTTCAGCAGTAGTGTCATCGCAATCATCATCATCGTCCGTATCAGCATCTTCCTCAACAGGAATGATTCCAGCTAAGCCCAACTTTGCTGCTGCCAGACGTGATGCCTCAAATACCGCAGACTTTTCAGACGCATCAACAACCGCACAGAGCAGCACCACATATCGCATGTTAACAATACTGAACGGCGGCACTGCCTCATCGTGCACATTGACAGGTCTTCTGCAGTACACGTTGTACGAATTTTTCATCGTGCCATTTTACAAATCCGTCGAGGGTAAACCATCGAATTCACGCATATCGCGCACTCTGGAAGATAGTAAGTACAGCCAAGTGACTTTAATTGTTACATTTATGAACATTTTACCGGCAAATATTTCAAAGATATAATATGGATTGTAAATTTGAAAGGATTCCTGTTTTGAGGTTTCCTTCATTGTATTACTGATGATTTTTTATGACATCATGTTTAGTGTATTTTAAAGATGAGCTTTAATTTATAGAAAATTTTTGTATAAACCTCTTGGTCTTAAGAGTTTGTGTGTACATAATTGTTAGTCACAACTACGACTATTACGTGGCCTCATCACTTTAATCAATAGGTTATAGATTTTTATGTAGAATGTGGAAATGTAGAAAGAGCATATCAGCACATTAAGGAATACTTTTGCACAAGACATGAGCAAACTGTTCAGTCACCCCTTATGGAAGTACCCTTTCACGTGCCGGCGTTGAAGAAAGTAACAATAACCTAATTCAATTGTAAGAAAAGAAGAAAAAATTACACATTACCGATGCGTTCTATTTACCGGATTATTATCGAGCCCTAACATCAGCTGCAGCAAATATATTGATATCGTATTCTGCCCATAGAATGTCATAAATATAAGGGTTAGGGCATTATTTAAAGGGTCGCAAAAATGCGATAAACTTCCTAAATTCAGAAGAAGCAAACAGAAAAAGTCAGAAAATAACAAATCCAAATAAAAATTTACGTCAATCAATGATTACAAATGTACAAAATGTAAATAGAAAAGCAGCATTTTTTTTTTCCTACAAATTTATGGGGAAAGTGCAAATACATCATCAATTTCATCCATTTCTTTTGTACGAATTTGAATATAACAATGATATAAAAGAAATTTTAACAAAATTTTAGTGTAATCAGTTGCAGTCAATTATATGAGTTTCATTAATATTTTTCTACTTGAGATGTTTGACAGTCTTTTGGGTTACTTATGAAAGCCAGACCCAGGTGTCAGTTACAGATGTTAACTTGTACAGTGAATTGAAGATGCATAGAATTAAAATCACATTTTTTACTGCAATTAAAATAAAAGTATTTTTAAAAATTTATTTCACCAAAAAAAATTACTGATCCCTGTATAATTTACACGACTAATATCTACAATATATAGTCTACCAATTCTAGTAACTGGCAGTGAAGACCATGTTCTGTTTAATAAAAGATTGCACGGTAATAAAAGTTTTACAACAGATTATGGATGAAAGTGATAATGAATCCTTAATTTTATTTACTGAAATTCACTATAAATAAAATGGAAATAATGATTTCCTCTCAGCGGTAACTGAGATTCTTTTTTAATCAACCTGACCATAGTTTTTGATACGTGATGCCCAACAGCTAGAGTATAGTCGCTGACTACAGTACCTATTAATTGTCACTAAAGTAAAATTATAAAGAATGTCTTACCTATCAATTGCAGCACAGTTTTAAAATTTGTAGTAACTGTTGTCAGCTAATGCAGCTTAGTCGTATTTTAGATACTATACATTTGCTATATTAGATACTGATATTGCTGAAAATGCCATATACATGGGTGTCACCTGAAAGTTAAAGAAAAGAGAATTATTTATATGAAATTAAGTTTACCTCACTATTTTTTATATGTTATTATGTAGTTTTACAAAAACAAAGTCTTCAAGGAGGTGGAACCTGTGCTGTATGTTATGAAGTCATGGGCCCTTTTTTATTTTTCACTTTCACAAGCACACTTTTAGCGGGAGCCTCACTTGGTAAGCCTCACATGGATTTCCATCATCATCAATTTAATAATAGAATGGCAAAATAAAATTTAAACAGCAAAATTAATTGTCATTATCTTACACATATTATCTGCTCTTAGTTCTTCCTGATCTAGTGATTCAAATAATTCAAATAATAAAAGAAAGATTTTAGTGAATAATAGAATATATTAAATAAAGAAAATAATTAGAAGGGAAAAAATTTAAAGTATTAAACCTCTTCCTCTTTATCGATATAATCTGCCCCTTGAAAAGAGTTTAACAAATGAACTTAAATATTTGATGTATTGACAATAATATATATTTTGAATAACATGATATATATTCTGCCTTCCCTTTGACAATACATTATGTTAAAAATAAAAAAAAATAATTGAAAAAATAAAAAAAAATAATTGAAAAAATGAAACAAAATATTAAAAATATTCATATAAAAAAATATTGAATAGTGAGGAATGAAACGTTTTATTCTTCCTGACAATATCATCTAGAGTTAATAGATGATAAGATGATATGAAATTGCTCATTTACTACAATCCTTGCTGTGCCACTAGCAAGAGTTTACCAAAAAAAGTCAAATGTTCGATTATTAAACTTTTAAACAAAAAGAATAGATTCGATTATTTGTTCTTACGTTGACACAATTCTTTCTACTCTACTGCGAACTGCTTATCAAGAGTACTTGAATAATATAGAATATATTCTCATTCCTCCATTACAATATCATCTGCACCCAATACAATTTTAAAAAAAATATTTTTTGGTTTGTATTCCCCCGTTGGCACTATTTTGGTTCTCAGAACAGAGAACAGTTTATCAAAAGTACTCAAATATTTACTTATTAAAATATTAAATATTTTGCAATAGATTCGCATCTGTTCGTGACAATATCATCTACACCTAATACATTATAAAGAAAATATTTTTTAACCTTACCTTACTGTAACCTAACCTTACCGGGAACAGTTTGTTAAAAGAACTGAAATATTTGCTTATTTAATTATTGAATATTAGGGAACAGCTGCTGTCCTCCTCCTCCTATCTGTTATATACAGATAATATACAGCAAAAAAAAATATTTTCATGTATATCCACACGATTTGCGTAATCCTGGCTACGTTGCTGGGAACAGTTTATTAAGAGAACAGATATATTTGATTCTTTAATTATTGAATAATAAGGAATAGCTCTTTTTTTTCTACTATCTGTTATTTGTAGATAGTATACGAAAAAAAAAATTTTTTTTTAGGTTACCGATCCGCTTGGCGTAATTCAGGCTATGTCGCTGGGAACAGTTTACTAAGAGTACACAAATATTTGGTCATTTAATTATTGAATAATACGGAATAGTTTTTTTTTCTTTTACTATCTGTTTTTTGCTGATTGTATGCGGAAACAAAAAAATTTTTTTCTAGTATATCGCTCTGCTTGTCGTAACGCTACCTATGTCGCTGGGAACAGTTGATTCTCAAGATATTGAATATTGCAGTAAACTAAGTAAAAATATATTATCAGTAAGTTTAAGCTAAGCTATAGAAATATATAACTAAGTTTATTACAGAGCTTTCAAGTACCTGCATTTTTAGCAAATGTTTAGCAGACTAGATTTATCTGCACACCTCCCTCCGATTACTTTCGTTACAGACACAATAAACGTTAAAGAACTCTATATTAGTATACCATATGTTTGAAAGCTTTAAGGATGAATTTTAAGAAAAATATTCCATAAAGGAAGGGAATTTATGTTTTTCTATAATTTTACACTCTTTCTCTACTGATTCATCTCAAGGTTCTGTTTTGGCTCGTTATTAAAAGCACAGCAGTTTTCATGCTAAGCCCGGTACTTTATACCGCGGCCTCATTGCATGCTACGTCACGCCACGGAACGCCACTCTACCTACCTACCTACCTACTTACCTACGTCTTTACAGATGTGAAATTGCCACAACTGAAGAAGAAGCACTTGAAGAAATGAGCTTCACCAAATGTCGTGGCGCACCGTCTGCTGCTGCTGCTGTTGTTGTTGTTATTGTTGTTGTTGTTGTTGTTGCTTGCGTGCAAACATTCTCTGTGACGCGTGTCTGTGCTGAGTGTGAATTTACGTGCAGTGCAACTGTTTGTTTGCTTTGTGCTTCTATAAGCATAACTTCACAATTTATTTATATGTGCATGTGTGTGTGAGTGTGCGTGTGTGTGTTTGTGTATATGTGCCTGTATAAGCATTTACTTCTTCACATCTTTTCTGATACAAAGCAAAGTAATTTCTTTATATAAACACAATTGCACGCACACACACACACACACACACACATACACACATTCAAGTATACATGCACACAACAAATACAAAGCCACATGTATTATTAGAAAGTTTGGATTCAATTTTTCCTTTTTGCTTTTGTTTTTGTGTGTGTTTGTGTGTTTGTGTGCGTTGTTTGCTTTCTTTTTGTTTCTTTTTAATTTCATGTGACAATCTAAAGTGCTTGTCAAGCTTTTGTTTTCCTAACAGCAACTCTTTTCTCTCATTTTATATCTCCGTTCCACTATTGCTGCTTTATTTTTATTCAAATTGCATTCAAATTGCAGCACAAAACATTTAGTTTACTCCACAGTCACATGTCGCATGTCGCATCTAAATGTTCAATTGTGTGCGTGTGTGTATGTGTGTGGGTATGTGACGTTCCGTCCATGTATCTGTCTGTCTGTCTGTTTGTCTGTTTGTCTGTGGATTTGTGCATGCAGCATGCTTATTTAAATGTAAACTTCCAAGTGTCTCGGCGAAAGCAACGACAGCAGCAGCAGCAGTAGGTGCTCGTTGTAGTACACCTCAACAAATAAGCAAATAGGAAAGTCCTTAAAAATGTTAAACGAAATAAATGAAAATAAATGAAACAACAAAAAAAAAACAACAAAAAAAAAAACAAACAACGGGCGCCAACTTTTGTGGTTATGTTCGCTCACATTTTGCAATTTAAGCAGAATGATATAGAGCAAGGTAAGGCATAATCCAGCACAGTCGTCGTCCGGTAGCCACCGATGATGTTACCGCTGCTGCCGCTGCCTCTACCGATCCTGATGCTGATGCTGATGCCGATGCTGGCACAATTTACAATGAATGCAAGTTTTGCAGCATTCCCAGCATTTCTAGCATTTCCAGCATTGCCAGCATTAACTGCTTCTATTTGCTCTTATTATTGTTGTTACCTTTGTGCCTTTTATTACTGTTGTTGTTATTGTTGCTATTGTTGTTGTTGTCGTTTCTTTTTATAAAATAATCGTTGTTTATCTTTTTCGCAATTGCAATTGCAATGGCAGTTCTCCTTGTGCAAAAAGTCATCTCAAAAGTGGAAACGGTATAAATATAAAATGAGTTTGATTTACTAAATGTATGGGTTGACTACCAGCCACACACATGCACCACTATTACAAATGTATACACATATATATACATACACAATATATATGTTGGGCTGACACTCTTCACAGTTGTCAACTTCAAATAATACAAAATGTTGCGCGCTTGCTTGCAAGTTATCAAGCAGCAGTCGTAGGTAGGTGATGGCGAAGGAATGAAGGAAAAAGGGGTAGCATACGAAGGTGGCTTAACAGAAATGCATTTGTGGCAAATTCTCATTACCTATGGATTGCATGGTTACTTGCCCTTGCACAGCAGCATCATCAGCAATGAGTTTGATGAAGTGATGAAAAATTTTACATGCCACAAAATTTAACAATATCTTTGCATTGTTATTTATATGAATTTCTCTTCCTATCCTCATCCCCATCCCCATCGCCATCCAGCCACAAACACTTCTTGCAATCGCATAACCACAATCGTATGCGAAGGCACATACCGATACACATACACATACACATACACGTATGTCATATGTCATATGTAGTAGTATGTGTGAGGATAATTACGTGGGTGCTGAATGTGCAAGAAGTAAGAATCAAAAAATAAGGAGCAGTGCAGAGCAGTGTGCACCTCTCTATTTGTGCGTGTGTTTTGTTTAAAAGTTTTATGACTTTTTATTTCACATGAAATCCTTTTTTATTCTGCAATTATTTTGAAAATGCCGAGATTACGTTGATATTTACATGACTTTGGCTTGAAACATAAACAAGTCTGTAAAGTTAATAATTGTCATTTTTTTGCTCTTAAAAAACAAATATAAAGAAAGAAAGAACAATAAATGCCTTAAAAAAAACAAAAAAAAACTTGTCTTCTTCTTTAAAGATGAAAACTTTAAAAGTCAAGAAGTCTTGCTTTTCCAAAAGGCAAGATTCTTTTGGTGATAAATATGTTATCTACTTTTGTTTCTAACAAATATTATTAGATTCATATGGTGGTCATATTGTGGATTAACTTGATCTACAACTAAGTCTCTGATTGATAAATGGTTTTCAGCCGAGAGAAGTCGCTAATGGCGTGACATTCTAGTAAGGTATCGTTCTTCAGCAAAACAGAATTGAGGTTGCTGGTGGGATATTTAACTATGGACTGCGTTATCACCTTAACAAAATTGGTCTCTGTCGACTCTGATTAGAAGCAGACGAGACTTCTCTGTGACTATCCGGCCTTGATCTGAGCGACGAGGAGATCACTGGGTCGAGAACTACTCTCCCTTTCTGGTATTAGCAGGTTCTCAACGGCCGACATTCTGGCTTTCATTCGGAAGGCGCGGAATGTCTTCTGTTCGGTTAGGGTATGTTGCAGCACAAATGATCAACCATAGTCCCAATGCTCCATTCCGGTGAGAGCTGGTACCCCGTTTGTTCCTATTTCTATTTTCACAAGCAAAGCGTTATCCTTTACGTTTATTGCTTGATATGGCAGTATTATTTTAGTTTATATTTTATAATATAAATCATTTAATAACCGCTTACAGAGTTGTGAAAACTTAATACACAAGTAGTGATACTAGTGATTTAATTTAGTGATGGGGCCTATTTTTCGCTTGATGGCCATGTTAACAAACGTGATTGTCACTTCCGACGAACTGAAAATCCAAAATTAACTATCGATAAGCCAAACAATGAACTTTGATTGCTATTTTACATGGCTGTAAGTTTCTTTTTGCCGTGGCATGAAGGATATGGATGTGGGACACATGCGATTGCAACAGGACGATGACACAAGCCATACATAATGTTTTATTTTTCGATATGTCCACTAAGGTATAGCCTAACTATTGTCAGCAATGCAATGACAAGTCATTAAAAAATTTCTTCAAAGGATTCAGTACTATATTTCAGATTTGGATATATTTCATACCATATGGCAGGGAGTATATTGAAATTGAAATTTGATCGAAATCTCAAACACAAGACTATGTTCTATTTCCCGTCTACTTAAAAAATTACAAAATACATTACTTTATTATTTGTGCTACTTCTGCTGATTTACTCACTTTTGCACTTATAATACAACAGATAATTTCTAATTACCTTAATTGACATTCAGTTCTCATATTAAAAATGGAAATTCTACCATAAGAACCCTTCAAGAAATACGTATACAATAGAAATTGTTAAAAGTTCATTTGTTCGAATTTTTATTTACAAACAACTTTCCATTTCAGTTCCGAATGACGCACCATTTGGCATGGAAGCAATACTGCTTAATTCTTCAGCTGTGTTCCTGAAATGGAAGGCACCAAAACTCAAAGCTGAGCATGGTAAGTAAAAGAACCAAAAAAAAAAAACTGAAAATGAAAAGATTTTACAGATGAAAGAATGTTGCGGCATTTGTATGTAAATACGTAGCCAAAAAACCTTTTTATGCTTCATTAGATCTTGATTTGTCAACACAGAAGCAGCCAGGCTTACTCTTCTGTCAACTAATTCAATCAATTCAGTCCTTTTTATATGTGCTCTATTCTTTTCTACTCTTTAGGTATTCTACTTTTCTATCATGTCATTGTGCGCGGCATTGATACGGCTCACAATTTTTCGCGCATTTTAACAAATGTCACCATTGACGCTGCCTCGCCTACCCTTGTCCTGGCTAATTTAACTGAGGGTGTGATGTACACAGTAAGCGTTGCAGCTGGGAATAATGCTGGCGTCGGTCCCTATTGTACGCCTGCCACGCTACGTTTAAATCCACTTACGAAACTTCTGGATCCGTTTATTAATCAAAGGTAAGAACTTGTTCCTTGTTTTTTTTACCGTAGTTTTCAGTGGAACACTTTTTATCTCTTTTTACCTGATATCGTCTCTTTCTATATCTCTTAAATTTTACATATATTGTTTTGTTCTTCTACAGGTATACTATTAATCAAGATCATGCGGATGATGTAGTGACACAACCTTGGTTCATTATTTTGTTGGGAGCTATATTGGCCATTATGATGCTATCCTTTGGTGCAATGGTCTTTGTAAAACGCAAGCACATCATGATGAAGCAATCCGCTTTGAGTACCATGCGAGGTATGTGTTTTAAAAAGAGTACTCTCAGCTTATTTTAGACATAATCGTTAGAAATTATTCCAAAGCCTGACAACGCCAAATTTATTATATTTAAATTTTGTTAATAATTAATTTTTTTTGTTTATTAAAATATGTTATGAAAATTTAACTATATTGTGTGCTTATTTAACACTTAGAACTACTTTCAAAATGTGCTTTAAATATCTTTTACTAATTTTTATAAAGAAGTCATAATGAATACCTTAGTCACCTTATAATAATCAGAAAATATTATATATTAATTCTTAAGTTGTTGTTGTTTTAGTTTGTTTTATAACGACCTTTTGGAAAGTATAACACTTCTACCCTAATTAACTAAATAACCAACAAAAGTTGATTCTCAATTTGAAATAATAAAAAATAATAATAAAATAACGTAAATGTTACCAGCGCTTCTACAAATATAGTATCTTTCTTGATTTCCAATATACATAAACTGTATATCTAAACTGTAGCCATATCCACCATCATATTACTTAAACAAGAACCATACCTGTTGCCGTGGCCCCTTTGAAAGTGTTAAGCAGCACTTGGTCGTCTACATAGAAGAGTGATTGCGGAACGTATTCCCGGTCGTTCTTGGAATCTCTCCATTAAAGTAACTAAGTTTTTCGCCTTGACATCAGTTGACTTCAATTTATATCTCACTTACGCTTCATTCTTACTTCAAGCAATCTCCTTTCCTCGCATACTAACATGTAATAATATGTCTATGTAATTATCTTCATATTATCTCCTTGATAGATCTCTGTTAACTACGGCAGTAATAACAACACGATACTACTCACTTATTCAGTTTTCTCATGACTCCAATCGAGATTGCAAAGTTCGTAACCCTTGGTAAGGGACGTACTCGATATTTTTGCCTTTAGTTTTCTTTTCTTAGTTAGTTTATACTCCCATCGTAGATTCTTTCGATATTCCCAACTTTCAGAACCATTTCTGTATGGTAGGCTGAGTATAACTTACCTTCTTCAATTGTTGAATAAACTTTTGACATTCCCCATGTTAAAATAAATATTTTCTATTTCCATTTCTATGAACACCAATCCTATCACGTAAGTGTCTCTAGCATTACAATTTGACAGTAAAGGGTTAATACTATTTACTTCAATATCATTCCAACTGTGCTACGCTCATTAACGGCTAAATACATTATTCAATCGTCCTGTTCAATTTATTATTTTTATTTTTGTATTATCTTTTAAAGTCACTATCCACTTCAACTATAAAAATGGAGAAAAAAGTTATATAATGTAGATATATAATTGAACAAGGTCAGAATCAAAATCAGAATCAACAGTACTAAAAACGGAAATATTTAACAAAATTCCTTGGAGCTAAGTTGCTTTTGTGCTGGCTGACTTCTCGCCTGATTTCCTCTTTAATGCACAGAACACCGTCAGCATAATCAGCGCTACTCACAGAACTAACTTTCCTCTATCCGTGGCACATGTTATCGTGAGACTCCTGCAAAGGATGCACAAAATCTGCATGTATGTATGTGTGTGTGTGTGTGTGTGTAATGTGTACTTTTCCCAGAAATGCTTAAAGTTTTTCTTTTTGTGTTACTTCCGTAGCTACTTTTATCACAAATAACTGTAATTTCTATATTGTGCGCGCTAAAGTGTGCACGTACCTAGCAGTTTTCCACATCGTCAGAACCGAGGTTCGCAGAAGAAAGCACACCGACTAAGGGAAGGAATGCCATACATATGTGTAGATGGTGTCCGCCGTGCGCTTGCACATCGTTGAGATGAAGGTGCACGGTGAGGTGCATGTGCCAGGGATCCATACGTGCACGTCCTCATTGCTATCAAAGCAAATAAATACACGGTGGCATTTTGTATACTGTTTTCCTTTCGGTTCCATTTCCATTTTCATTTTCATTTCCATTGTATTGTAATTGAAGTTGTTGGAAAAGTAGGCGCGAATGTATTTAACATTGTTTAGCAATTTTGCTACTTTGCAATTTAAATAATAGCGCACGCCAAGCATAAAGGAAAGGCACCCAACCAGGAGGTGCTGGAGAATTGTGGCAAAGCAATTTAGGACTTTCTTTAGTATAAAAGTTGCCATAGCACATCGTAGCCCTTAATGTTTAATTAAAAATTATGCATATTAAAAAAAAATCTAACTTAAGTGTGTTTGCTAAACTTTAATTGAAATTTGATAAATATACCAATACACAGAGGTTAGTACGTTAAATTGGTTCTAGTACTTATAATATATTATATTGGAACAGTACTTTACGTCACGTACATTTTCATAAAATTTATTTGTAAATGATATACTTATTTATTTAATAAATTAAATTAAATATTTAATATATTTTGTTATGTTACATTTTACTAATGATATATCATCATATATGCCTAATGAGATGTCCTCATTTTCATGATTTTCATTGTTTTTATCTTTCAACAATTATACGATCTTCCAAAGGTCAAAGTATAATGATTGCGTTTTTGCGTTTTTCCGTTTAAAGTCAAATATTTATATATTTAAAATAATAACAAACTTATTTTATAGTAAAGTATATTTTACCTGATATCTTGAAAATCTAAAGCTGTATAGATATATAACCAATTTTATTAAATTTTTTTATTAAACTCTAAACTCTAATCGTGTCAATTACTTATATTTTTATTTAATTCCCTTAATTTGATAATGCCATTTTATTTATATTTAAATTGAAAACATTATTTCAATATGCAAAACGCTAAATATAGAAACGCAAAAACGCAAGAACACAAGAACACAATCATTGTATATATATTACGGCCTTTAACTGGCAATTTTCTGCTTGAAAAGGCATTTCATACTTCACTTGAAAAACATGTTGCATATTTATAGGCACTCATCCATTACCAGACAGCAAATAGCCATAACAAAGCATCAAAAATAAATGCGCATTCTGCATTGTTAAGTGCAATTCTGTTGTAAAACAAACTCATCCAACAAATATTGCACTTCTCAGGCAACAACAACAACAACAGCAACAACAAAACAACAACTATGATATCACCAACATTGAGTAACATACTTACAAAACTTTGACTGACCCACGTGCCCACGTACCGAGAATACGAGGCGTAATGGTGCGCTTCTTTGTACACCTGCACAAATGAAAACTTTTTGACAACAATTGCATTTTATGCAACAAAAAAATAAAACAAATGTTATGCTTAATAATAACAACAACAATAATAATAATAATAAAAACATCGGCATGAGCATCAAGAATAGTAAAACTTCGTTATTGTTGTTGTTGTAGTTGTTGTTGTTGTTGTTGTTGCTGTGTTCCTGTTACTGCCAAAAACTCGCTGCGAAAATTGCAGCAATAAAACACTCAGTTGACTCCTCACAGTTTTATTACTGACAGTTTAATTGGTTCATTTTTTTGCTGTGGAGCCGCCGCACGCTCTTGAGCCTCAAGTTTTTGAACTCTTTTGGTCAGCTTTATGTTATGGGAGGCTCTCTCTCTTTAATATTTTTATGTTAACAAAAACGTACAACTGTGTGCGCTTTGGCATTATACTCCACTGCTCTACTGCTGTACTGCTGTACTGCTGGCCTGCTGTAGTGCGCTTGCATTTTGGCCGATAGATTGTTATATGCCGCAATGCAAGTCGTTTTTACCGCTGCACAACACATTCATTAACACGGATTGTAGTTGTTGTTTTACTTTTATTATTGCAAAAGTGCATTCGAGAATTGACAATAATTTCAATAAAAATTTCAAATAAAATGAAAAACCGTACCTTTTTGATTCTACTTTTGTTACTGTTATTTTTTCATTTTTTATTTTTATTTTTTATTGTTCTTTTTATTTTTGTTGTTGTTATTATTGTAGTTACGAGCACTGTCTGTCGCAGTGTTAAGCAGACTGATTGAAAAATTGCACAAATAAATAAATGCCGCCAAAAAGTATGCAATGTAATTTATTAACACTGCAACGCATATGCAAATTTGTGGTGTTTAATTTTTTTGCCATTGTGTGATTTTTGCATAAATCCTTTATACACATAATATGCAATGAGTGTATTAAGTTGGTCGACGTGTTTGTAAAATAGTGTGTTTAAGATAAAATGTAAATAAAATTGATCAGCTCAACTAGATGAATAGATAGAATAACTGTCTGAATTTTTATAAACCAGTTTTGAATTAAAAAAAAATTGAATTTCATACAAGGATTAAACGTGAGACTAGACAGTTATAGATAACAAAAATCAGTTCATATAAACATTTCAGACCCATATACTAGGAAAACATGATTCGTAAATATTTTTCATAAATTTAGGGATTTATCACATACATGAAATACTTGTGTGTAGAGTATTGAAGCATCAGCAAAGCCCACGCCAACTTTTTTTTTTTTGGTTAATTGCTTTGCTTTGTTTACATATAGATATGCACGGTGCTTTTAATTTGTATATATTTAATTAAAGTTATAAAATATTTTTAAATTTAAACAATAACAATTAAATAAAATTTGCAATACACAATTAAAAAAGTTTTAATTGCTTATTTAATAAACTCTGTAATACATGGACCCATAAAACATATGCAGGAAATTTATTTCAATGTCTGATTATATTTATTACATACTTAACAAGGACATATAATCGTTTATTCTATGTAAATATACATATAACCCAATATAATAAAATATACATTTTAATGTATTTTTCCTACACAAAATTAAAAAGACTTCAAAACTCTTTATGTGTATTTTATTTTCCCTTCAGATTCATATTTTGCGAATTTTTATTTACTTAATTAAAAATGAAATTGGTTTGAATTATTTTTTGTTATAAATTTTCTAAGCCATTTGACGATAGAAAACCTGCCAAACTGTATATTTTGTTAGTTCCTTCAAACTCGAAATGGAGAAAAAAAATTTATTTTAAAAACATTTGAAGGATTAATTTTTTAAAGACTTTATCTAATAGTAGTAGCTGTTAAAAAATTAGGAGGTTATCCATTTTGTAGTCCTGATTTGGCAGCATTGTTTTAGAAGTGCCAAAACTGTTAGCTAAGATATATTATGCCTAACTTAAGCTCTATCATTTTACTATACGATTGTTTAATACCTGTTAAATGCGTTGAAATTAATTTTACAAGCAATATTATCACAAAAGAATTCTTGCATATAATCAGGAAAAATCCATAAGCAACTAAAGAAACACCACTGAATCCACAAAAAGTTTCTATATGCCACTGGATGCCATTTGGTCTGGTAAAGTGATAGGTTCGACAAATCTTAAAGACTGATAGCTGTAATGACAACATAATCAATATTTTTTTTAACATAAAACAGCAGAAATGAATATGGAAGATAACCATTTAGTTGCAAGCCACTCAATACTACCTGTTTTGTTGTTTTTTCTGTGCACGTATTAATAATGGGAAATGATCACTAAGTTAATGCGATATATCACCGCCAGATATATAGATAGTCTATATAGATAATCCTCAAACTCTCGACACTACGGATCTTATTCCCGAACATCCATGAAATTAATGTTAAGCAATTCCCAGATCTTGCCGACAGCCACCAAAAATTATTTCAAAAGTATCTGTTACTGAAAGATATTTGAAAGGATCGTGTTTAGGTGAATAGTCTTTAAGCTCTCAAATTACTGAAAGTCACTAAATATAACTTCTAATATATGAAGTAATGAAAAATATTTAAATGTCAAGAAAATTTGTATGATATTGTACTTCACATCAAATGGAAAGATCCAAAAAATTTATTGATATGAAAATTTGATTAGAGTCCCCATCACAAATTTATTTTATGTGGATTTACGTTTATGTTTATATTATATTATATTTTATAGTTTAAATTGAAATGAAAAGATAATAACAAAAATTTTAATTAATTTATTGAAATTTAGGTGACCATACAACGCTGTTTCGAGTATTGTCAAGTACTCATTATCAGTGGTCTTAAAAAATATTAGAATTTTTAAATTAATTTATAGTCTCTTATAGTTTATTTTAAATATATAACAAATAATTTATAAATTATAGTTTATATTAACATACATTAAGACTGAAAAGTTTTCGGAAATTCTCATTTAAAATTCGCGCGCTGTATATTTTTCGATATTTTAAGTTTATGTAGTTTGGCAGCACTGTCCTTAATTACTATGCCAAAAATGAGCGCGATCTGTCAGACAGTTCGTTTACGGCAGCTGTTGAAACCAGTTCCCCTCAGTAGTGCGTTGCGAAATGTCTTCGACGGTCGTACGACCGTCCTGAAAGGCTTTGTACCACTCATAAACTTGAGTTTTCGATAAAACTGATTCCCCATAAGCCTTTTGTAGCATTCGCAACGATTCTGCACACGAAATTTCGTTCGAAACACAAAATTTGATGCAAACTCTTTGTCCAATATTTTTTTCCATTGTTTTTTTCGCAACGCACTACTGAGGTGAACTGGTTTCAACAGCTGCCGTAAACGAACTGTCTGACAGATCGCGCTCATTTTTGGCATAGTAATTAAGGACAGTGCTGCCAAACTACATAAACTTAAAATATCGAAAAATATACAGCGCGCGAATTTTAAATGAGAATTTTCGAAAACTTTTCGGTCTTAATGTAGGTTAGGTTAGATTGTACCGACTAGGTCAGGTTAATCCAAAAGAATTCACTTAGAGCTATTGGTGCATTGTGTTGCCGTATAAGAGAAAAACTATAATTTATATTAAATATTGTGAAGAAAAACGCGTTGAACTTAGCTAGTTTTAGAGAAAGATTGGAAGTAAACAGGTGTCTGATTGAGACAAGATATGCTTAGAACTGAGCAATCTTACAAAAAAAAACGAGTACTAGCAAAATTCATATAAACAAACATACATTAATTTTTGTTCAGTGAAATATCTTTCAATAATACTGTATATAAACACGGATTTGTCAATATGCAGCTTCTACTCATAAAATGAACTCTATTTTTAAATTATTAATATTTTTCTAACTGTATATTTTAATTTGATTGAAAATAAGCACCTTTCTTCTTCCACTTTTTTCCCTTCAATCGTTATTTTTCAATTCAATTAAGTAAAACATCTTCCAAAGTTAATATAAATTGGTAATATATATCCTGCACAATCAATATCTATATACAATATAGTATTTCTTACTAAATGACCTCATAACAAAACCTCACCTTACCAATGATATTTTCTTAATTCAGGTTCTCATCACTCCAATGATGTGTTGAAAATGCCTAACTTATCCCGGAATGGTAATGGCTTCTGGCTAGATGCAACGGCTGGTGGCATGGTGTGGCGTACTTCTCCTAGCGGTGATACGTTAGACTTGCAAAAGGATCAAATCGCTGATTATGCACCAGTTTGTTTATCGACTAATGGCAGCGGAAATTCATCACAAGATCAAATTGCAAATGGCGAGCGAACGCAACAAAGGTAAGATTATCTTAATCGAAAACCAAGAAAAACATATTTTTAGGTTTCGTCTTTCTGATAAAACAGTGGAATACTATCTTGTTAAATTGGGGATCTATGTACTCTAAGATAACAAATCATGGTATTACTTATAAATGACAGAAAAACTATAATATATTAATATTTGTACTTCGTACCACTTCAATCGGTGGACTGATCGAATATATAGTCTACTTAACTATATGATTGATGAACAATGGTGGATCAATAATCCAGCCTTCTAAAATTCTGCTGAATTCTGATTTTACCAGCATTGATATATTGTGTTATTTATCGATATTTTCATATTAAACTTATATTCACAAGGCGCATCTTTTTGTGGAACAGATTTCTTTACTCTTACAATATATAGTATAATACAAAACCGTTAAAAGTGCTAAAAAAAGTCTAATTATAGACGTTCATTAAAATTATAATGAATAATTAACATAAATGGGTTAAGGGCAATAGACCACCTGAGTTGTGGTATATCGAATTTCCTATAGTAACAGTAGGAACAGTTGTATGAAAAGTACTAAGAAAAATACTAGTAGTAGTGGTAGGAGTAGTAGAAAAGTAGTAGAAATTGTTATCTCCAATAATAATAATATGTATCCTATAATAATAATCGGAACTCGGTAGTGTAATGAAATAATAATAATATAAAATAATATAAATCAGGAGGTAATAAACGGTAGTGGAGAAAGTAGTAAGAAAAATAGTAGTAGTAGTTGTTGTTGTTGAAAAAGAGTAAAAATTACTACTGATATTAGGATTAATTTATATATTATAGATTAATTTAATAATTTATTTAATTTATATATATATGAGTTTTTAACAAATGCTTGTAGAACAAAATTTATTTAGATCTACTGCAATATTAGTCCATTTTTTAGTATATTTTTCTCCATATCATCCAAGGAATTTTCAGAAACTTAAATATTGAACTCTTTTTTTGATTTCAACTATTTTTATATTAAATATGCAAATATTAATTTATATGTAAGTACTTATAAATGCATTTGTTTATTTTTAAGAGTTTAAAACAATCTTTGAAAATTTACGAATATTTGCTTATTGCAAGTATTTACTAAATTTCTTATGGATCCTTTAAATAGAAGTTTTATTACTGCAGTCATCCTCACATATTGCAAGAGCACAAAATGTAATTATTATAGCACCTGAGGACGTTTATTTAATGTCTGGATGCTTATGTGTAAATGGGTGCGAAAGTGCAAGAATAATGCATAAAAGTGCATCATTCGTCGAATTGCAATTGCCAAATGAGTTTCCAAAAAATACATCAACCAACGGAGCAAATCTCAGAAAAAATCCTTTGCCCTGCACAAAAACAAAACCTAAAACAACACAAAAAAAAAAAACAAAAAAAACAGAGACAGAAAGAGAGAGTAATATGGGAAATGTTAGGGCTAAAAGAAAAGCAAACATATACACTCTGCCGTTTGGTATTTGAAATTCGAGCTTTTCTTTCCATAACAAAATTTTGCTTTAAGCAAAACATTTTTGAGGTTTTCATCATTGAAGGGAGAAAACGTACGAAAAACGTTGAAAATTGTAAATGAAGGCAATTTTAAGTTGGTCTTTCCAAAACCCAAAAATTTCCCACAATTCTAGTATGGCATTTACAACTGGCACAAAGCGGGGCAGTGGGAGGGCTACATTGCAAACAAACAAATATAGTATCAAATGCAGTGGAGCTACTATTGCACATTCATAACGAAGAGGAGTTTCCATAAAAGTTACTGAAAATCAACCAAAATTTTCAGCTTTCATTTATTTTCAATAACAAATGAAACCAAAACGTTTTTAATTGATTTTTAATGGAACATCTATGAAAGCTAGGGTTAGTAAAGATTTGTACTAGGAAACCATAATGCTGCTAGCCTCAGGCATACTGATGCTTGGTTTCATCAAATGATATTTTTCAACCAAATAGAAAACTTCTCTTTGTCTTATTATTGTTAAATTCCATAGAATAAGTCAAAGCAATAGCCGTCGAATGTAACATGTGAATCTTATCCCCACTCTCTCTCTCTCTCTCTCTCTCTCTCTCTCTATCTATCTATACATATGATCTCATACTACCACTCTTAGTGCTTTAGACCTTTGGATTTTTTCATACCCCTCCGTATCATGATTATGAACTGAAAACTAATCGTAAATCGATTGAATGAATTGTCATTTTAATTGTTTGTCTTTGCGATGGAAACATTTTCCTGTCGAAAAGCTGTTGTTGGTTCCGGGGCTGTTTCCATTAAAATTGAATTTTGGTCGAATTTAATCAAATATTGTGGCGTAATTAGCGGCTGCTGTTTGAGGCTCGCCACTGCAATAATAGACCGAACAAAACAGTACAGAACAATCCCGTCATTGTGGAACTATTAAAGCTGCGCATCCACCAAATTTCACACACCGCACACCACACACCGCATACCGCACGCCGTACATCATACATCACGCAAATTGCATTAAAATGCTTATTTATTTATGCGTTTTAATTTTGCATCGGTATTTGCGTTTTATTATGAAGACAATTTATTATTTTGGTTTACCAAAACTTTTGTTTCTCATTTCAGTATTTTTTTAATAGTGATTTTATTTTTATTTTTTTTATTTTTTGTTGCAATATTTTTCAATTATTTTATTGCTGCAATTTACAAAAACACAAAAAATTATTTTCACTCACATTTCCACTATATTTACAATATAAAAGTATTCACTAATCGTCGTCCATGTTAAATTGCCAGGCCAGCCACTAAAGCCGAACACATGCGAAATATTTCATTTTTAATAATTAATGTCCTGAACAAATGAATTTAGCAGTTGAAGCGACAAATCGGAAATTCCTGTTTTGAACATTTAAAATGGCAATTAAAGCCTTGAAAATGGTCTGTACACAATTTAGAGAAAAACATTCAAGTATTATTTAGGCAATCAATGAAATTAGGAGAGTTGTAGGAGTGCATGCATGCAGTCCTTACTGCATTCCAATTAAGGGGGTTTTAGTTTATATAGAGTCCTTGCTCCATATGTCAAAAGCATGCTTTAGCAGAATACAATCCATCATTATTTATTTAATAAAATCCATTCTTTCAACTTCATCATCTTAGTTCATATAGAGTCCTTGCTCCATATGTGAAAAGCATGCTTCAGCAGAATACAATCGATCATTATTTATTCAAAAAAATCCATTCTTTCAACTTCATCATCTTAGTTCATATAGAGTCCTTGCTCCATATGTGAAAAGCATGCTTCAGCAGAAAACAATCGATCATTATTTATTTAATAAAATTCATTCTTTCAACTTTATCATCCACGCAAAGACCAATAGTTTTGAGTAACAATTTTGCATAGAAACACACTAAAATATTTTTTTAGAGCACAGGATTATCCTTTCCGATCGATAATAAACACTCTCTGGTACATGAGCAACAGCGACCTCTACAGTCAAATCAGTGATCTTTACTGAAATAAAAAAAATGACTAAATCTCAACAGAAAAGATTTCGCCAGCGCACTAATGAAAAGATCCATAAAATACTTGATATAAACACACATAACTTCTATATAGATGTGCAATGTTATCTAGTGTCCATTGAATTAAAATATTGAAATTGGAAAGTTCGATTGCTGTTCAAACAACTATATACTAACGTCAGTTACACATTTAATATAAAACAAAGAGCACATACACATGTATTATAGATAAAGAGAGAATAAGAGCATAAAACTCTTTCACATAAAAAGAAGCAAAAATATATAGCCAGAGAGCAAATCGCAAAAGTTGAACTTTTGAAAGCTACTATATAGTGACCTTATGTTATAGAACTATAACTTTGAACTACAGCTGAGAAAAAGCTATGTTTTAAACTTTCAAAATTGATATATTATAGGTTGTCTCTGATATATATTATTTAAGAAAACACTCGCAATTTATTACAGTCTTTGGACTGGTGAAGTTTGCTTAATAATATTCTCCAGAACAAAGATTTTCAACCGCATGCGGTAAGCGCAGTTCACATACAAGTAAAATATTGCATTAATGCTATTAACGATATTATTTTCTGAGTAGATAATGGTACCGGGATTTTTTGTAGCTATATTATATTTATAATTTTAATAATTTATTATAAATTATAATTTACCTATATCTAAGTACCTATATCTAGTCCAGAGCAAAATTTTTTAACCACCATCAGTCCGCGTAATTTGTACTATTAGTCGGTGATATAATGCATTTAACCATTCAAAATTATAATTTTTTGAGAATATATTCGAACTGGATCTTATATTGTGAAATTTTAGAACTTTAAAAATCATTGACAGCTTTGTGGTAAGCGTTTGATATAAGTTATCTCTAGTTTAAATGATTTGAAAAGTCGGTCGTAACGCACCAATAATATTTTCAAGAATAAGGTTTTGTTAGTCTATATTCGTTCGCGAAATTTATACTACCACTTCCATAAATCTCGGCCTAAATGATTTTTTTTCTTCTTGAGAATAAGTGCATACCTGTCCTTTTGCAAAATACATTGACTATTTTATCGGTCTTTGTAGAAAACACTACAAATTTTTTAGATCCACAGTGTGTTTATTTTGGACGCACTGTGCTAGAATATGTGAGTAAACGTATGTGATATCACGGATGTTATATCAGATGTGATATTAGATAAGATAAAGATATACATTATTTTTATTGTAAGTATTATTAATATTGTAACCATACTGTTTCTGTACAAAAAAAACAGACTATCCATTTCGAAAGTAAATGTATATAAAATGCATTTATAAAGAAGACTTCAATCAAATATTTATTTCTATATAATGTTTGGACTTTGAGATTAAGTATAAAATACGATATCATTAAAATGTCCTTTTTGGCACATCTTGCAGTGTTGGATCCTTTTAGGTAATTTTCAATGGCTTCTTGGCATATAGCTGACAATAGCTCAGTCTGTTTTTAAAGTGTCGTGAATTTTTACGATAACCCGCATAAATACAATCCTAAGCTTAGCCCTATATAATACATAAAAATGCCTCGACCATATACAAAATGATATATTTATTTCAAAAAATTTATTTAATATATTTTACTGATAAAAAAATATATATAGTATAGATATAAATATGGTACATATTGCAAACCAATTTAAGCCACTCCAGTATTGTAGATATTTGCGAAAAATGGCAAAAGACATCATCAAAAAAGGGTTTTAGTGTCAGAAACCGGTGATGCTGTCACTTGTGACTACACAAAAAAAAAAAAAAAAAAAAATGTGTATAATTACAAATCAAAAATATCAACGTCAAAAATATTATACATAGTAAAGCAATTTTGTCCCGATTTCAGGAGTTAATTTTTAATTTTTCATTATGTTTCATAGCCTTTCATTATTACTTAATGATTTCATTCGCTCTTTAAATATGACAGCCATAACAATTTTCTCCACTTAATTGGTCATTTAAACTAAAAGGCGAAGTGAAAAACGCTTTTAATTCATAATTATTTTTTATAAATAATTTTTAATGCAATTTATACAAAAACTGGTAAAGCAAATGTCAGTTATTGCATGAAAATAATTAAAAATTATTAAATTTTAATTATCGTTGTAAAATTCACATATGGACAGAAGCAGGACAGGCTAGCAGTCAGGCAGGCAGGCAGACAGGCAGGCAGGCAGTCAGTCAGGCAAGCAGACAGAGTTTATAGTGATTCTCATATATATATATATATATAGATATATATAAATACGTCTGTTGCGCATCCATGTATGGCTGCATTCATGGCTGCTTTTCCGTTTGCGAACAATACAAAAAGGCATCCATTGCAGGTCCTCTCGGTTATTTCCAACTTTTGATGCAAAACTCATTAGCGCACCATTTTAGTTGAAAAAGTAAAAAAAAAGTAAAAAATAAAAAAAAACCTACAAAAAGTTGCCTTTCGGCCACTCAAAATGCGGTCATGACAACTTTCGATTGCGCTGAGTCGTACTCCATGTAAAACACTTTTGCAAAGAATAAAATTCTATATAACAGGACTATGTAATAGAGTTTACATATATAACAGAAAAGAAAAACAAAGAAATTAAAGTCAAAGAATATTTTGCGTAATATTGGATTTTTAACAGCGTTTATTTTTATTAATATATGTCATTATTATAATTCTTATAGGTTATTAAACCATGAAGATTTATCAAAATTCTTAAGGTCTCACTGCAAATTGTTAGAATGTAAAAGTAATCCCTTCAGGCGCAAACAACTATATACATCGAAAAGTATACGAAAGTATCTATACCACTATATGTATTCGGACTTATACTGCAATGTCAGTTAATTATGAGTTCTCTCAGCTTCTAATAGTTAAAGTATGTTTCGACACATGCAGGAACCATATACATTACTATATAGTACTATAGTTTTTTGTTAAAAAGTGTGTGGGACAAATTACCAAAACACTTTCTGAGACTAGGTTCAGTTATTAAATTATTCCCTGGATTTTCTTACTGAAGTAAGCTTTAACATCCATTTTGTTGTTTCTATTACTTTTCTGCTTCTTGTATATCACCAGAACGTTCATATAATTTCACAATTTTTGAATGCCGCAAGATGTTAATATTAGTTTTAATCTGTTGTTAGGGATAATATATAACATCGTTTAAATGTTCTCCTAAAGTCGGCACATAGTCTGTAATACCTCAACTATAACTTGACTAATGTGCATCAAGATGCTCTTAAGCATCGAGAATTTGAAGATTGTGTTCACAATCACGCTTCTTTGCGAAATCCAAAAGTAGTCCAGTGACAATAAATTTTAATGACCAATTTATATTCATTCACTAAAATGTGAGATTATATATTCAACAAATTTGTGGCTTAACAAATCCAAAGCTAGAGATATGTTGTATATCTTAAGACAACATCCTTTTAAACTACCTATCTTCAACTTCCATGTCTTATTGTCACAACAAATCATGAAACACTAGAGTTCAGATTTGACATTTTAATTCAAACCTTCGTCATTTTTAAAGAAGTACGGGTGCATCACATTTTGAAACCAAATATCTTACTATTCAGTGACTTATATAGTATATATATATATATATATATATATATACAAACCCAAAGCTGGAGATATGTTGTATATCTTAAGACATCATCCTTTTAAGCTACTTATCTTTCACTTCCATGTCTTATTGTCACACTAATGTCATGGGACATGAGGATCAGATTTGACATTTTAATTTAGGCCTTTCTTATTTATTTACTTATGCCCTTAAAAGTAACAATTTTATTTCTCGAAATATTCATCAAACAAGAAAGTCACCTTATCACTGCAAAATAAATTTGATATGAGCAAGCCCTACCATTACTTTATACTTATTATTATACATTAGATTGTATATATTATTTCTGCATTTTTAGAACATACATCCGATTATCTTTACTGTTATTGAAACTATATTATAATTGTACGGACCATACTTTATTGTCATGCATTATTTCTTTATTTCTAGCACATTCTTATGATTGCCTTTCTTGATATCGGAACTACATCATAGTTCTATGGATCGTACTTTATTATAATGCAATGTTTCTTCATAATTACCATTATCTTTCCTGACATTGAAACCACATCATAATTTCAGGGACATACTTCCGTTTACATTTCTTAATATTTACACTATATTACAGACTTATAGACCTGCCTTATGGACTTATTTTATTTTCATACAATATTCCTCCATTATTTCTCCTTTGTTAAGAAGAACATACTCCTTGTTATCTTTTCTGCCACTGAAAGTACTTATAATTTCGGGAATCATACTTTATTACCGTACATTATTTTTCTAATTCAAGAACATACTTCCGTTTGCATTTCTTGATATTGTAATTATATCATAGTTCGTTCCATGGACCTTACTTTATTTCATGCATTGTTTAACCTATTTTAAGAGTTTATTTCCGATTATCTTTACTGTTATCAAAGTTCAATCTCGTGGACCATAAAATACTGTTAATGCACTTATGCACTAAGTGTCACTTTTGCAAAAATATTTATCAATATATAGAATATAGTTTTTTAAATTTAAAAGCTAACCAAACACATGGCATTGCTAAATCCTTTGCATCCTCTCTGTCATTTAACCGCAGACCACATAAATAACGCTTATTTTTGGCAAAGGCATTTGCTCTTTGTGATGAATATAAATAAATTGACAAAAAAAAAATAGAAAAAAATAAAACAAAAAACAAAAAAAGACGCACCTACATTCTCATAAATTATTTTATTATTTCATTACGAAGCTGGCCGTAGTGCGGCATCAAAATAAAAATTTATCAATAAGAATACAGAAAGTAACTTTTTATCTCTGTTCTTTCAGATACGTTGGCGAATATTCAAATATTCCGACAGACTATGCAGAGGTGTCGAGTTTTGGTAAAGCGCCGAGTGAGTATGGAGGTATGCAACGGAATAATACATCATCACCGGCGCCCTATGCAACATCGTCCATATTGAATAGCAACGATGAACAGCCACGTTATCAGCAACGTCCAGGTTATGCAGCCCAACACCAACGTCAACAACACCAAAAACAACAACAATTGCAAATAATACAGCACCAACGTCCCATACAACAGAGTCACTACCATCACCAGCAACAGCAGCAGCAGCAACAACAGCAATCGCAGCAACAAAATTCAATTGGCAACATTTATCAGCAAATGTCTACCACAAGCGAAATTTATCCGAGCAATGTGGGCAATCGATCAGTTTATTCGGAACAATATTATTATCCCAAGGAGAAAATGAATATTACTGAGAATAAACTTAGCAATTGTCATACTTATGACTCTGTGTCGAATCAACAACATTTGGCTGGTGCCGGTACGCTCAAACGGAATGTAGCAGGCATAAATCAAAGTGGACGCTTCAAAGTATTAAACACTCAACCCCAAAACTTTCAAATGCATGCAACACCCGGCAACGCCTCCAATACAGTACCCGCTAAAACAACAATAACTGCAGCAATTTGCGAAAAACAACAAAAATTCAATTCATTAAATAACAACAGCAGTTCCACTGGTTCAGGTAGTGCAGTCGGTAATGTTGGTAATGTTGGTGGTGGTGGTGTTGGCGTTGGCATTGGTATTGGTGTTGGTGTTGGTGTTGGTGTTGTTAACGGCAATGACAATCGAAGTTGCAACACACCAGATCTAACAACAATTTCTAAGAATTTGATGGATTTAGACAGCTCTTCTTTCTGTTACAATGGTATGGCAGATTCCGGTTGCGGTGGTTCACCTTCGCCAATGGCTATGTTAATGTCACACGATGACGAGCATGTTCTATATCACACAGCAGATGGTAATATTGATGATATAGAACGTCTATATGTTAAAGTCGATGATGAACACCAGTATGCAGTACAACAACCGCAACCACAACAGCAACAGCATCAGCATCAACCCCAAATGTTGCCCATGTCTGCAACGACTGCAATGCATCCTAACGCCAATGGTGCTAACGATAACGCTTTCAATAACTGGCGTGTGCAGCCAATACGTGCTTCCTACAATCGCGGTGCTGGTATTAAGAGTAACAGTAGCATTGGTGGCAGCAGCTCGTTGAGTTCTTGCTCCGAAACCAATGAAGACCGTCAACAACAGCTACAGAAAGTGTTGGCAACAAACTCGATTTGCAATGAGAACGACCTAATCTATGCACCCGGCAGTGTAGCTAGCGAACGCAGCTTGCTTAGCAATACGGGTAGTTCAAATGATCAGCAACAGCTGCACAATGTGTGACCTCCGCTGGAGTTGAGAACTGCGGTTAATGCGCCAGGTATAAGCAGACAAGAAGATTATTACGCACGGGAAGTCAAGGAATTGCTCGAATGGTGCGAACGTTTCAATAATGGAACAAAAGAAAATTTTCAAAATAACTAATATAAATTATTATAATATTGATAATTACTAAATTTAATTATAATTAATTATACTTAAGTACATATAGTCCAAGCTGATTATATGTATTGATTATGCCCATTTCAGCAAACGGAATGTGTAATTTTAATAGAAGTGCCATGTACGACTCAATTGCTAAAATATTAATTCAATTAAATATCATAATAAGACAATTAATTTTTGTAATTAATACAAAAAATTAATTGAATTAATTAATTAATTACTCAAAATGTGAAACTAAAAAAAAAAATTGTGAAAATATAAGTTGGCATGAAGACTGATGATGCGAACTTTATAATTTCGTCTTTTTAATTTTAATTATTTTTTATATGCAAAATTAGAAATTTATTTTCTAAGCTTATAATTATTTTTATATTTAATTCTTAATTTATCGTTACGCACAATAAATATTGTGAAATTTTATTTACTTAAGTATATGTAGAAATATTGTTCAATAGTAATTAGTGTTACAGTCAGCATCATAAGAGATTAACATATACCATATACCATATAGCATATAGTGTAGAGCATATATGATTAATTTAAATATTTTGATACTTTGATACTGCTTTGAATTTTTTAATATATTTTATAGCCGGCCATTGCCGACTATGGAATTACCCAAGCAGACAATATAGACAATATAGTTGCCTGCATGGGTTTGCACCTGAACCGGGATGTGCTATTGAAAGCAGTTGCTGAACCGAATCAACGATTGATTAGTTAGGCATATCCTGCTATGGGAGTGGCTGTGAAAGTTTATTCTTAACCTTAACTATGTAAACTAAATTTAGTTTTTGTATAACTTAAATTCATATAAGCTGTTACGAATGTGCTTCTACTTAGTATTGTAAGATAAGAGAGAAATTACTCCAAATAAAATTGGAGTAAATCCCTACTGAAACCCTACATCAATCCGTTGTGCACTCGTCCTTGCACTGAACAAACAGCCCACACAAATCCAAACATTCAATCTAATAGTGTAAATTACTGTGGCGTACGGCTGTTATTTCATTAATTAACAATTGCTTTTATTGCATTATAGAATTATAGAATATATTACACATACGAGTATATACATAAATACATATATACATAATAAATAAATACCTAAATAAATAAATAAATAAAAGTTAGTTGTTCAAGAATTGATTTAAATATTCTAAGTGTTTGGTGTTGTTACCATGAATATTCATAATAGTATACAATATATAAATATTTAAATTAAATTAAAATAAGTATTTAATATAGTTTAGCCATAAATGTACATACATACTACATAATTACTTTTCAATGTAATTCAATATACATATTAAATAATAACTAAATGTGAAAATATTTGCTCTTAAAAATGTCTATGAAAACATAATCAATTACATACAAACATACATACTTACATAAATACATAAATGAATATACATAAAAACATTTCAAAATGTTAGATGTGAGTTTATGCAAAAAAACATATTTATGAATTAATATATATATACAGATATATACATATAATATCAAATCAATCAGACTATTTTATTGACAAGCAAAAAAAAAACAAAAACAAAAACAAAAAAGATTAATCGGTTTTGAATAAATTCAGTATTGATGTTCTTCTCTTAGACTAGGATTATATACAGATTAGGATTGAAACTAAATATAGATGCAGAATTGCCTTCATTCAGAACTTCTTCGATTTACTAAACTCGACTAGTACGTGACTGCAACCTTCCATCCTACATTTGAAAAACGCATTAGTTATTAGTAAATATATAAAAATGAAATATGACACATATATATATATATATATATGCATACATATGTATGATAAATATTTGAAAATAAATAAATGAGTTTTAAAATGAACTAAATTATCAATAATAATAGCATATAAAATATTGTTCATGCTAAATAAATATAAATTAATTATGTCCTTCTGCACGGAAGAGTATTCAATATCAATTATTATTTGTTCGATTTAATTGTAATTACAGATATTAATTAATGAATATATTTTATTAGTTATAGTAGACATGATTTCACTATAGCCATTGATTGTAAAAATAAAACTAAAAATATAAATAAAAATACTTCTCTTTGAAATGTGAATCCAAATTCTGTTTTAAATTATTTATTTCGTAGGTCGGATGAAAGAAAGTCTATTTATTAACACATTTTTGGGGAAATTATTATTTATTTTACAGTGGAATGGAGTGTTCCAGTGATTATCACAATAATATAATTTTTAGTCCTTCATAAATATTGAAAAGTACAACTCTTAACAGTATAAAAAGATATCACTTTTTTTTAACTACTACAATTACTATTTATTTTACAGCGGAATGGAGTGTTCCAGTGATTATCACAATAATATAATTTTTAGTGCTTCATAATATTGAAAAGTACAACTCTTAACAGTACAAAAAGATATCACTTTTTTTTCTAGCTACTACAATTATTATTTATTTTATAGTGGAATGGAGTGTTCCAGTGATTATCACAGTAATATAATTTTTAGTCTTTCATAATATTGAAAAGTACAACTCTTAACAGTACAAAAAGATATCACTTTTTTTTCTAGCTACTACAATTACTATTTATTTCACAGTAGAATAGAGCGTTCCAGTGATTATCACAATAATATAATTTTTAGTCCTTCATAATATTGAAAAGTACAACTCTTAACAGTACAAAAAGAAATCACTTTTTTTTCTAGCTACTACAATTTTAGAGAATCAGTGACAAATACTAATGCTTCAGAGTATAGATATAAATTCGAGAACCTATTCGGAAAATCTAATGTGTGTAAGTAAAACAAGAAACACATGCCAGAAGTTGAGGTCTCATTTAAAGAATTAAAATTTGGTTCTTTAACTATAAAAATAATTTTCCACAGAAGCACAGAACTGTTTAAACTTAACCAGACAGAGAGAGAAGAAAGAAATGCAAGAGAGAAAAGTCATTATCTTTTACTTTTTGGAAAAATATCTAATTCTTACAAATTCAGTTGGTTTCAATTGGATAAAGGTGTGTTCACGTCACCTGAAAGCCATGATTTACAAAATGGTATGGACTGTCGTTAGAATGTAGTCTTCTTGAAGTAAGGTCTGCGGTATAGGCGTGAAGTATATATTGGATTTTGAAGAGTATTGTTACTTTAAGTTATTATTAAGCTAGCTATTTATATATTAATAATTAAAATTTTATGTTCTTCATATTCATACTTCAAATGTATGTATTTTTCATTAGGATTTTCACATTTTTTCGGAGTCTACAGAAATCTCCGGAGTAAAACTGTAACAAAAAATTTGATTAATATAGCGCTTGTAAGTGCTTATATATAATTTTTATCATAGAGAGGTTTCAAAAAGTAGTAAACTATAACAACAAGAATTCTTTTTAAATTATTTAAAATACAAGTTGTAATATAACGTCAGTTTATGATGAAAGTGACTTTTATATATAATAGAAACTAGGTTTTGGATAATAGTGAAGTACAACAACGAAAATTCTTTTTATATTATTTTAATTAATTGAATTTTTGGTTGGCTATACAGTTGTTTCGAGTATTGCCAAATATCCATTATCAGTGGTCTTGGAAATGATTTCTCACATTTAATTATTTGTGAATAATTTTGTTTTGAGACTCCAAGTTCCAAGGGTTGAACTCGTGCCCTACCAAATTCGAAGCTCAGACTCAGTGTTTATTAGTATATAATAAACTCATCTGCATTATTATTATTATTATTATTATTGTTAGGGGATATGGCACTGCGACCTTCGAGTTTATTGTGCACCTTTCTGGTTTTAAAGTAGGTCTCCATGCCCTGTTGCGTCAATAAAATATAGTATAGAATCTATTTTACGGAGTTTTATTGGCTCTTCTGTAAGAAAATGCAAACCCAGAAACCTATTCCGTATGTGCATTACTGCGTAGCATTCCAAAAGCACATGTGTGGCCGACTCCTCATTCTCTTCACAGAATCTACAGTTTGGATCCGTAAGTATACCCAGTCTTATAAGTTGGTGTTTTAGTTTACAGTGCCCTGTTGGGATTCCTGTGAGGATTCTAAGTTTTTCTTTGATATTTTATTTGATATTTGATATTTTGATATTTTGGGTATTGATATTTTCTATAAAGCTGTTAATAAATTCACCAGGCAAAATGTGTCCAGCATGTAAACTTAGAATCGTTCACACTAATTAATACAAGCGGCTTAGGAAGTTGATTATAATGTGAAAAACCAACTCAATGAGTCTGTACAATGTGATTAGAGATTTAATTAAATATAGTAACCTGATGTAAACAGCCCATTGCTTTATTTTTCCCACTAGCTGTAGTAAAAAATACTGTAGACCTGCTATTCAGTAATGTTCCAATAAACTTAAATAAAATTTTAGACAAAATGGAGTACATATAGATTATTATTGCCGATAATATGTTTTCGAATGTACGATATGTGCGAAGGATTTTGTCAGAAAAAACGTAATTAGTGAAAAGTAATTAATTGATTTGATTTTTAAAGTATCTACAATATCTGTTTGAATAGTGCAAAAGCATCCGAAATTCTAAAAGTAATTTTTTTGTCTTATTTATAAATAATTTTTTACTGATTATTTTTAATTAAATTTTTGCTTTCTCTATCAACTTGAATATTGTTCCAGAAATTTAAATATTCTGTTCTTTGTAAGCATGAAATGGTATAATCTGAAATAATGTTTAAAATTTTATGTTTTCTTTTGTTCGAAATTTCACAAAAAGAGTCCCAAACAATTGTTTTGTAATTAGAAAGCAAAAAATATAAAAATGTAAAAATATACAGAAAAAAGTTGAAGTTAAAAATCACACAAACACATTCTGTGGCTTCCCCACTAATTGAACGCATCTTGACAAATTAGAACAGCTTTTTAATTAGGCGAGCTCCAGCCCCGTATTTAAACAGTCCTCGACTTTTTCTCGCTTTAATGATACAATTGCAGACATGGAAATTAATTAAGGAAAAGAGTGAGACACACGCATATACTTGTATACACACATACTCACTCGTACACTCGTACACTTCCTGCCCAAATGGACAACATAATTTAGTTCGAGCGCAGCCTGTTTGGCATATGTTGAACGCACTCTTTTCTTTCCGGTGGTCGCATGCATTAATTCCACTTTTTGCTGTGAGTTCCGCCTTATGGAAAAACATTTTTTGGGAGGTTCAACATTTAACTTTAATCACATCGACAATGTTGT